AAAAAAAAAAAAACACAAGTCATTTGTTTTCGAAAGAAAGATATTGCAACTTTTAAAGAAGAAGATGAAAGCTACTTAGCGCCAATAGAGAGCACATAGCCGGGTTTTTACTAGAAAAAGCCGAAGCAGGTCCATCATATCGAAGAAATTCGTAAATAAATTTTGTGAGTGTTATCTTCAAAAAATGTGTTTTAAACAGGGGTCGAATATAACAGATATTTTCGAAATTTCAATTCAAGAAGTCAGACGGAAAAAATCTGTCCATATAATACTTGAATATAGCAGTGTGACGCTTGTTAGCTAAGGAATATTTTTTTCAAAAAGTCAACAATTTATCGTTATTTTTTTCAGTATTTTTTTTTTATCAAAATAACTATTAAAATTTTATTAACAGTTAAAATATCACTTTAATTTTTTATTTCCGAAGTTAAAGTTATTTTTCGATCAGAAGTAAAAGTTAAAATGTGACTTTTATTTGTTCGATCAAAAATAAAAGTTAAAATTTGATTTGTATTTTTTCATCTTATTGTTTAAGTTAGAAACATTTTATTGCCACGTATAAACAAGATGTAAGTCGTTAGTGCTATGATAAGCAAATAAGCGATGCAATAAAACAATATGAAGATCGCTAGTAAAGTAATACAAGTCAAATAAAACTGTTATTTGTTAAGGAAAAAATAAAAGCCAAAAGTTAACTTTCATTTCGACGCCTCCAAACCATGCATATGCTAAGTCTGACTTAGTCATAAGTCATAATAAGAATTATGAAAGTCAAATTTTAGGTGTTATTTTTGAGCGAAAAATGCATACGTCAAATTTTAACTCTTAATTTTCGATCTAAAGCATATCCGTTTAAAAAATATCAATTATTCCTTCTGGCGTCAAAAATCGCTGATCACGCAGTTAATTTTTAATGTTCGGGAAACAAAAAAAAAGTCATTGGGTGCCAAATTAGAACTGTACTCATGGATGACCTATAATGTAATTCGATGTTTTCGCCGGCCGAATAGGCGGTTTTTTGAGCCGATGTAGGAGAGCTCGCAATGTCATGTCGAGGAACGATTCGTCGTCTTGAGTTGTGATTACAGGCTTTCTTACTGGCTCGTGTGGCTCACTTGTCATACCTGGGAGTTGCTCACTCCGACCAGTGCAGGTTGTGTTACGAGCAGAACATACAGTGGAGAGCAGAAATGAGTATACGGTGATTTTTGTAAAATATTTTCTAGGTTTTTAAAGTTAAAATTTTAAAATATGGTCCATACTTTAACCAAAACCATATACATAAATCAAACTTTCAAACTTTATACAGAACTGAGAAAATTTTAACAAATTTTCATTAAAATTTCAACCATTTAATCTAAAGATTACAGATGGTAGCCCATTAAATTTTAGTACAATAAAGAGCATACTTTAAGCGGCTGCAAAATCGTGTTGATTTTTGGGATTTTTTCTTTGGTGTCGGATTTTTGCACTTTTATCGATATAAGCATGAATTTCGTTTGCAAAGAAAATTAAAAAAAGCAACGCGAGTTTTTATAAATTGCACTTGTTAAATGAAAAAAAAACGCAAAAGCCATCAGCAAAAAAATATTAAAAATCAATGCGATTTTGCAGCTGATTAAAACTTTAGTGCACTAAAATTTAATGGGCTACCACCAAATGCATACTTAAAAAAATTCTAGAAAATCAGATTATAAAGTTGAAATTTTAATAAAAATTGTTAATTTTTTCTAATCTGTGTACCTCGCGAAGTTGCTTAGCAATACTTGAATTAAAGAAGACCGGTAACCAAATAGAGGTTTGTTACAATAGATCATCAGTTCCCAACCGGTGGGTCGCGACCCACACAAGGGGTCGGGGAAAGGTTACAGGTGGTTCGCGAATCGATCTTAAATTGCTAGAAACTATTGAATAAACCATCAGAAAAGATAAGAAAAATGTGAGTTTAAAAACATCTTCATTCAATCCTGACATTGTCGTGTTAGTTCAATTGAAACACACTCTAAACAAAAATTGTGTAGATTTCCTAGCTAAAAGGTAGGTTACTGATTTCCTACCTTATTATTCGCGAAATTACATGCTCGATTATTCAACGAATAGTTTGTTCAAATTTCGGACTTTTTAGAGTGTAATATAGCTGCTGTGATGTGCGTAAATTTACTACGAAATTGTGTACAAGCTACAAAATACACATCTGATGTTTGATTTCACCTTTAGAATTGTGTAAAGCCGCTAAAAAAAGGTCTTTTACACACGCAAATGTGTAAATGAGAAAAGTACATATTCATCGTGTAGATGTACCAAAAAATTTTTTAGTCGTATTTTTAAACAGATTTTTTAGAGTGCAGTCCCACTATTTTATTCTTATGATTTATTCAAACAATTATTTAAAAAACGCAGTGCAATGTAGGATAACAATGTGGGTATCATATAAAAGAGAAAATTCTGTAGAATTAAAAAGGTAAAATTTTTTTGAGTATAAGAACGAATAGGTACTGAAAAAGTCCTTTTAAAATTTTATTCTTGAACATCCTTGAATAAGTATTTTGGCAATAAGTTTTCTTTTCAAGTTTATATTAATTATACACACGACCACCCCCTCCAACTTTATTAAACTCATTTTGGACATTGATAGCTTTCTATACAGGTCATTTTAATGAAAATCAGGCATTATGTCAACTAATTGGAAAACTTTCGTTTAATGTGGCTGGGAAAAAAATAACCTATTTTTTCTACATTACACGTACTTTCATACTTTACCGGCTGTGCGCACCAACTAAATCTTATCCGATCGCCACCATATTTTATATTGGAAGCATTAAGGCTAAAAGGAAACTTTTTTTGTCCGGAGGTTTGAAATTAATTTTTAAGGGCCAGTCTGTTGCATATATTTGTACATATTTTCAATATTTAATGGTAAATTATTTATGGTAATTTTTTACTCCACCATTAACCGATGGGCCGTGGAGGTATTACGATAAGAATACGGTGGGTCGCCGGTTGAAAAAGGTTGGGAACAACTACAATTGATCATTCTTGCTCGCGGTAATCAAGAGGAATGTGCCAACTCTTGGCACTCACTCGCAGAGGTCATTCACAATGGGCTACTACTTATTTTTCGGAGAGGAAGTATGGAACATTCCTGGATAGAATATACATATCAATTGCGGCAATTGCTTTCTAAAAATTAATACGCTTTCGCTTGTTACTTGATCGGGATATTTTCCTAAATGAAGTGCTGAGCGTGGACGCCAATATTAAGACATTATGTAAGTTTAAGCGCTTATTACTTATAAATTGCTTTGATTAAATATGGAACTTTTCGAGTATTTTGAATAGAGTGCTTTAGGATTCGCTATCAGCTGAAAGTAAACAAAAAAATATTAAAGAAGCAGTTTGTGAGTTTATTTTTTTTTTTTTATTTAAAAACTTTCAATATTTGATTGGTTTACAAATAGTTGTTTATAGCGAAAATGTGGTTCGCTTTACAAATAAATATAATTTCCTTAAATTAAAAGCAAAATAAGTATTTGTTTATACATGTGTGTGTATATAAATATGCGTATACTATATACTAAAAGTGTAAAATTTTAATAAACTAATTTTAGTGTTTTTTTTTTTGTTTTTTTTTTTTTTTTTTCAATAAAACTATAATATGGTTATAGCCTTTAGCAGCTCTCCACTTTTTCACGTAAAAATCACATTTAATTAAATTTAGTTACACACATAAATTTAGTTAGACTTTTAGCTCAATGTGCTTCACGTTATTCATATGTATACTCGTATTGGATGACATGAACATGTATTAGGATGGTCCTTAAAAAATCAACTTCATCAACTTATTTTGTTCTACGTACAATATAAATATATCCAAGAAAATTTCAAAATTTTCAAAAACAAACAACATTGTAAGTTGGGTCCCTACCACGGTTTGAAAAAATAGATATTGTTCTTTTAGATTGTAAAAATTTGACAAAACACAGCGAGCTGAGTTTATATACTTATTATGAATAAGTTTAAATAATATGTAAAATTTATCATGTTTCAAGTCATAGTTGAGTCGAATTTTTTTAAATTTAGTTTTTCAAACCCTGATAGCTACCCCAGAAATTTTTTTATAATTTTGAAATTTTATGTAGTTGCACGTAAAACAAAATAAAGGACTGCCCCATACAAAATTTGGATGTTGACGTTTTAAGGCCTATCCTAGTATGTATGTACATATGTATTTGAGAAATGTGTGCCGAAATGCAAATAATATTGGTATTCATCTAAACGCCTCTAAATGCCTTGTAAACGCGTAAAACTCGTAAATAAACCGGTTGTCAGTACAAAATTAAACAAGTTTATGTGGTTTGCGTGGTTACGAAGCATTACGCATTTAGATGAATTGCCCTAATAAATTAGGTGTCATGTTAAAATATGCATAACTAGTTTTAGAGATTTTTAAAAGTTATCTCACATAAAAGGTATGGTATTAGGGTCCTCTTTATATTTCATAATTTTTTTTTTTATTTTAGCTTTTTTTAAGTGTCGCAACAAATTTTTTTCAGAATAACTTGGAATTAGAAAATTTTTTAAATGCGAAAATTAAAAATAAGGACGCCCCTAAATTGTAAGTATGTTTGTATTCAATAAATGGTACGTACGCATATGCAAGTCGTTTTCAAACAACCCTTGCACGGAAATGCATCAATGCAAAGTTTCAGTCTCTTTTACTTCACAGCTGCATAGTACAACATATTTCATGGAAATGTAACTGTGGCATTGCATTGCTGTGTTCCCGAACAAGTAGCTACTATGATATGTAGTTTTTCACGATCTCAGAGGCGTAATAATTTCGAATAAAATAAAAAACATGATTTTTAGCATTTTATATCAAAAATTTTTTTACATTGTATGTAGTTTGATTCAGAAAATATATTCAAGATTGCATATTATTGTAATTATAATACAATTTAAATGAAAATTAATTTCAAACAAAGAAATATGGGAGTTCCTTAAAGATTATAAATACATTTCGTTTCACTAACGCTGGCCCTAAACTCTCTAAAGGACCTCTCTGAATAAGGACGTGTAGATTAGGGTAGTCTTTAAAGCTTTCAGTACAAGCGTCCAATATATTGGACAAACCTTTTTGTGCTTAAAGCTTTTTTTCGTAAATAAGAGCTCTCTTGTTGTTAAAAGAAAAGTTGTTTTGAGAAAATTATCTATATCATAATTTTTTACCACGCTTATTTAATTGTATTTCCTGAATACAGATGACCGTTTTTCTTCACAAAAAAATAAAAGTATGTCAGAAAAGTCGATAGGAAACAGGGTAATATATTGGCAAAAGTTTTTGATGGAAGTGAGATTCGAAAAAAAATTCATTATTTTTGAAATATATTTCGCGAAAGAAAAAAATAAAAATAAGTGAGATTTTACAAACCTAGGATATCTCTGTTCAACATAAAGGACCCTGAATAACGGTAAAACTAACAGTTTTTAAAAGCACTTTCCAATATAATGGACGCTGGATAACGGTAAAACTAAAAGCTTTATACAAGTTTTGAGTGTATTTTTGAAATCAACGACCCAAAATTAGCCGGTATACAAATTTTAAGATTTTTATTTGCAACAGTTAATATTTTGCACTGAAAGGGTTAAGATATCAACTTTTAAATTTTGTGTGGGGCACCCTTTAATTTTGTTCTAGTTACGTACAAAATAAAGACTTTCGCGAAAACTTCAAACTGTTAAAAAAATTTTTAAGTAACTAATATTTTTTTTATCGCGAAATTTCGACAATATTTTGAATTGAAATCTAATTAGTAAGACATATTATTGAAGCTTATTCATAAAAATTCATGAACTCGCTGGGTTATAGCTGGTTAAATGCAACATTTTGTAAAATTTTTGCTATTAAAAAAAAAAATATTTATTTTAAAAATTTGAAATTTTTGTGAATGTCTTTATTTCGTACGTAGAACAAAATAAAGGTGTGCCCAATTTTGTTGATATTCTAAGCACCACCCTAGTACGGATATTTTAGACCAAAAAAAATTTAATGCACATAAAAATAATTTTGTAAATGTAAGCCTATGCTACATTTTATTCATTCATTTAACTATTTATTACGAATTTCTCCTTAATTTTAAAATAAAGACTTCCTCTTTTAATAAAACCATTTTCAGCTAAGAAAGGTGTGCGATGATCAACTACTTTCGCAAATTATTATTTTTTTTTGAACTGCATACATATGCTGAATTCAAATACGTTTAACGAAAACATGCAAATAAAGTTAAACAACAAAACTTAAATAATTATGTAAGTATTATATTCAGCATTTAATACATACTATATATAGGAAGTTTTCTTTCTTTTTTTCGGCAATGTCTCACATACGCAATAGACTTACTTGAACCATACATTAAGGATCGATATAAAACAGTTTACAGTTTAATGGAATCTCTGGAACTTACAGCGTTGTCGAAGTAACTGTGCTTATGCCATGTACCAGAATAGTGGGTGGCAACTCAGCAGTCAACTCGGTTAGTAGCTCTATGTAACGTGCACTGCGCTCTGTGAAATCCGGTGTGTCGATTAGCGGTGGTGCAGCCAAATATATAAAGGAAACAGCGGTCTGGTCGGAGCGTTCACGTATTATTTGGTTGACTCTGGAAAAGTATTCAAGAATATGAGTATAATCAGTGTTTTTTTTTTTTATTAGGTATAGGCTTTGTTTCGAATAGTTGCAGGAACGTCCAAAAAGTATCTTAGTGTCCTGTGGAGAGTATATTATGTACTACAATAAGTCACTCTAGCAATCACGAGTGCAATAAAAAAGCAATTGATATGTTTTGTTATGTTTATCGAAACAATAAAAAATGTATCACAAAAATGGGTGATCACTAAAAAGCAGCTAGTCTAAGTTTCAGAAAAGTACATAGCTCAGAATTTCTTGGGGAATAAGACAAGGTAAGTGTTGCCAGAATATGCACTGAGAAAAAAATAAACCCTAACATATTTGTTTCAAACTGAATCACAAGCGAATTGGCGAAAAGCGAACTTTTATTTACTTTAAACACATTTTCATTTGGAAAGTTTTTCGTTTCAATACGCTTTTGTTATGGACATCACAGATGCTACCTTATTTCAGCTAAGCTCCGAATCTCGCCTCTTCGGTCTATATGTAAATGTTCATCTTAATCTAAATCTTAAAATAAAGGAAAATAACTGCAATAATTAGTTTTACTAACCTTTGCATATAAAGCAGCGAGCGATTGAGATTTTCCTCCGTAATTAATTCGTTGACATCCTCAGCTTGGCTTGTAAATTGTTTGAGTATGCGAGAATGGCTTGTGAATTCAGAATCACGGTTCCATTCTTGAATCTACAAAACAAATAAAGAGGAAATGAATTTATTATCGAGTGTATTTCACATATATTACAATTGCAAGTAAGAATTAACGGCTGCATATTAATAAATTTTGTCTACCCTACCTCTATGATATCCGCTTCAATACGTAAATTCTTCAAAGATTGCTCCAGTCTCATTCTAGCGAATATATCCAGCTGTGGCATTTGTGTATCGAAAGAACTGTAACCGAAAATTTGTTTATAAATATAAGTAGAAAATAAATAGCAGACAGATTCAATTAATTCTAAAGCACCTTAATTCCGTATTTGTATTGTTTGATTCGCACAGAAAAACGCGTAAACGCAAGTGCTTCCATTTAGCAAGCATGTTGATTATTACTGCCAATTGCATCATAAATAGAGAGACTACATCGAAAGGATTATTTGGATTGGGATTGAAAACGTTGATTGGCCAAACGTCTATATATCTCAAATGTTTGCTTCTATCAATAAACAATAAATATTTAGCATTAAACATTGGTTTAACAAAAAAAAAACTTTGCTGACGCGCGCTTACTTTGCAATGAAATTCTTATCCAGGCGATGAAAGTGTCGACACAGACACAAATTTTTCTTCATGCGGAGCACATCGCACATAATAGCCACATATTCAGTGACATCAATTTGTTTTTCTTCGCCATCACGACGTATGGGAAAGTTTTGAATTTCGCCGTGATTAAAGCCATCGGTTTTATAAGGTGAAGTGCCGCTGAATAAATGTGCCGTTAATAAATTAAGAAACGTATGTGTGTACATTATTATATAGCACTCACGCCTCAAAGAAATCCTTTGGTGCTTCACTATCGTAGAATCCCAAAATTATAGTGTTCGGTTTCATTGCACCAATACCGGATAGACGTATCAAATGTTGCACACCTTCGCGTATAGACTGGGCCAGTGTCACTTCAGCAAACGCCTTCACTCGCATATGATCCAAGAATGATAGCCAATATTTGTTTTCCTCAATGGTGGGGTCTACGAAGGCCGTGTAGTCACCCACCTTCACGTGGCCAATCACATACAGCCCACCTTTTTTCATATCATTGACAAAATCTACAAGTGGACAGCAGGAACGCGGCGATGATACTAACAATAGCATTTGTGGACGCCAGAATTTTACATGATCCTTGCGTGAATCCAACATCAACAAGTACTTACGTACCTGTAAAGAAATTAATGAAATGAAATTTAAATGAAAATCAAAATATCCACGCTCACCTGATGGAACATCAACGCTTGTGAGATCGAACCCCATTGGGTACCCTGCGAAGCTGGTGAGAACAGATGCAACGCGATGACCAAAATTAAACACAATATAATACTGGATGATGCATAAATCGGATTTATCACAAACATCATGATGAGTGTACCTAGCAAACCGATTAGGCAGGTGTGCCAAGTGAAATACTTAAAGAGTGGACGGAAATTTGGCGCACCAGTCAATTCGATGCCCAGACAAGCCAAATTTGTAGCCAAATAAGAAAGCATAAACAATACTGAATTAACCTGCGCAATTGCATTCAAGGAACCAATTAAGAGTATACATTCGACGAGTATCCAACTAGTGAACACCGCTGCAACGGGATTGCCCTTCCATGTGCCGCGTAATACGAATTTCAAAAGAGAGCCAAACACTTGATCCTTTGATAGAGCTTCCAAAATACGACTAGAGCCAATAAGATTGCTGAGTCCAGTTGAAAAAGTGGCGGTTAGTATACCAATCGCTGTGAATGGTGGCCAAAAATTAACCGGCATAAGGAAGAGATAGTTATTTTGCATTATAACTGCTGGTGTGGTTAAAGCCATCAAAAATGAAAGTAAAATATAGGAGACGAATGTGAAGCTCACAGCCGATAATGTGCCGGTTGGAATACTTCTTGAAGGGCTTTTCAGTTCGCCAGACATATTTGCACCAGCCATAATGCCAGTCACGCCAGCAAATAAAACACCGAATGTGGTGGCGAAATCAACCATTTTACCATTCGAAGTGTAATCTTTAGCATAGTGCGGATAAAGATTATCCATTAAGGTGTGTGCATTTAAACCGGTGTAATTGAGTTTGGTTTCGTTGAAGATGGTGTTTTCCTTCGGAACGTCAATCTGAAAGAATTACGTAATATTAATTGGAATTTTAGGCATTCATACAAAGAGAAGTTCAAATTTAAATGTATTTTTGAAACAGAAAACTCGCGAAAAAATCCTCAAGAAGTCGGAAAAGAAAGAAGATTTATAAAAATAATTCCCAAAGATGCCGAAGAATAATATAATAAATACCGAAAAAAGCTCAAAATATCCCGAAAATAAAACTCGGCAAAGCCAACAAATCTGAAAAATATAGAAAAATTTCGAAAAACCCCCCAAAAAAAACACGAAACATTTCGAAAAAATTTAAAATTAATAGAAAGTCGAACTTTTTAGGAATCTTTCGTTTTTTTTCGGAAAATTTGGATTTTGTTTGGATGTTGAAGTTTCTAAGATACTCGTATTGCGGAAATTTTACAGATTTTTTCCAGACTTTTCGAGATTATTCGCGTTCAATTTTTTTGTGGAAATTTTGGAGTATTTTCCTGATTTTTAAGGTACTTGAGATTTTTTCGTGAATGCGCGATTATTTCGGATTCAAAATTCCACTTCGTTTTTTACGAATGCCTAACTGCATAAACTATTGTTATACTTTGATCAATACATTTCAATATTTTACGGAAAGATTCCGAAAGGTCAAGAAAAAATCCTCAAATGTCCGTAAAATACTGGAAAGCTACAAAAAATCCCGCAAAAAAAACAAAACACGAAGAATTTCGAATTCGTCCCGAAAAAAAGTTGCGTTAAAACTCCGAATGGTCTCGAAAAATCCCTAAAACATCTTGAATGATCCGAAAAATAACGCTCGAAGGACCCGAAAACTAAGTAACCAAAAAATATACTCTATAAACTTTCCGCAGAAAATACCTAAATATTCCAAAAAAAAAAAATCCGAAATGTCCCGCAAAGGCACAAAAAATCCAATCGGATTCTCAAAAACATAACGAGTCATTTGTAAAATATTTATAACGAAAAAACCCCGAAGATTGTGATCAAATTACCCCGAAAACCCCGTCATTTGAAAGCAAATTTTGAAATTTCTTTTATTCACGAAGCGTACTGCCCAGTTGCATATTTCCCCGAGAGCCTGATTAATTTAATACTTGAAAAACTTAACAGGAACCCCTTTAATTTTTAGTCTAAACCAGTTTCAAACCAGAGATATTTTCGTTACTTCATTTATGTATATACATTAGGGTGGTCCGGAAAAAAGTAGTCGGAATTTTAATGCTCTGTTACATATTGAAAAAAATATACCCCAATTTTTTTATTTTGAAATCAAAATATATTTAGGGGTCGCTCAAACCGCTCAAAGTTTTTCATGTATTTTATATGGAAAAAAAGAACAATCCTAGGGGGTGAGAGCATAAAAATTCCCACTTTACTTTTTCACATGTATTTTTGGACCACCCAAATACATACATCTTGGGAGTAGAGTAACTAAATAGTTGCATAGCTAAATAAGCTTCTTATAAGTTTTAAAATGCTTAAAAATGTGTATGTATGTATGTCGTATGTAATCATAATTTTTGTTTAAATAAAATCAATATGACGCAATTACCTCTTTCGGACCTTCGGCCAAGAAGCTTATATACGTGGCCATCAAGCATACTGTGACAATACCCAAAATTAATACCGATGTCTTAGCAAAGAGTGCGGCACCAATCAAACACACCACTAACATGGCTGTATTTATTAGCGTTGAAAAGAGGAAGCGCCACCAAGTGCCATCGGGTAGTGAGTCACCACCTTCGGTGAAATAGCCACCAGGGCCAAAGTTCTCCATTACACCCTCAGTACAACCAGATATAGCCATAGCACAACCGACGACATTAGCCAAAAAGAAAAGTGTACCAATCGAACCGCCAAATTCTAGGCCTAGCGTACGGCTTATCATGACTGCAAATGTAATGTAGACAATTAGTAAAATTATCTATATGAAAATATGATGCATTACTTACAATAAACGCCACCACCTTCCACGGCACCATTGGTAGAGATTGCGCATACAGACGCAACGGTAAACAGGAGTATTAAATAGGCGATAAGGAATTGAAGAAGCGTCACATAAAGACCAGCGTTGCCGACAATAAAACCTAAAAATATGTATGAATAAATATACATAAGTATCTATGTAGATATGTATGTATTACACACGATAAATCAAAGAAGTAGCGACTTTCCGTAACTAATACGAAATATTGATAACTTTTGACTAAGCAAAGAAGAACATACATAGACTACATACTTAAAAAATACAAAAGTGATTCACAGAACGGAAATTTGTAATTATGCCAGGCTAAAGACTTTTTGAAGGTCTTAAGTGAAAGGAACTAGTATGTAGATATGCTATGATTTTTCGCGACTGACAAAATAATACAAAAATATAAGTAAATGTCTCCCAAAATAGTTAGTTTCTTATTTAAGGTTTTAGTTTGATTTATGTATGAAAAACAATGCAATCTCCAATTTTGTTATTGTAATTATAGTTTACTAAATAGAAAGGATTTAGCTACATACCCTTTACATTTTTAACATAATAAAATAATTAGTCTGTTCCAATAGCAGTCCGGTTTACAGGATTTAGTCAGAACTTACAGGAAGTCGTTCCTATTGACATAAAACCTGTAAGTGGGAACACTTTTGAGAGAGTAACGGAGCGACTGTTCCCAGTCAAAAGTTACAGGATTTAGTCCGGAGTTTTTTTTTCCTGTAAGTTCATGAAAAGTGTCAAACGATCAGCTGATTTGCATGTGCAAACAAAAACAGAAAGCGGTCAAAGCAAAGAACCTTATATTTGTGAAAAAATGGAAGTAAACAAAGAAATATTTGAATATGTATAGATTTTAATAATTATTTAGTGATATTTTAGCCAAATCAGTGTAGTACCAATGACATGTAAACAAACCGTCTGACGTTTTTACAGGAAATAGTGCTGTTTGCGTTCCTATGGACTTCTGCATCTGTTCTCCTTTTACTCTCATTTGAGAGCGTAAAATTGTAGTTTGACAGTTCCACAGGTTTTAGTCCGAAGTTCAAAGGAGCAGACTAATTGTATCGCAGCAATTTTGTTGTTGTGGTTGTAGCGGCAATTTTCGGCCACTGCCAAGGTACATTAAACAGGTATCAGTAGAGCAAAAACAACATTTGCGTGTATTTTGTTGTTGCTTCTGGTATCGAAAGTGTCAAAAACTGTTCTGAATTTTTTCTTCTAAATCAAAGCGTGCCATGTGAAATACAAAAAATTATAAAAAATAAAAAATTGAAATTGGAAAAAATAAAAATTTATGCAACTTTCTTTCCTAGTAAATTTGTTTGCTTCTCGAAGCATTGATCCATCCTTTGCAAGGCCCAGTAATCAGCGGTCGTGCTGCTGAGTTGGGCGAACGTTCCAAAAGCTGCTATTCAATCGCTTGTTTTGTATGGAAAAAGGTTTCACATGCAAATGGATTTTAACAATTCAGAATTTTTGTGAGAAAAAATTAAAAATATTTGACATTTTCGAGACCAAATAATTTGAAAATAAATCAAATCAGCTGCTCTACTGATACTACCTGTTCAATGTACCTTGGCCACTGCTGTTCTCAAAAGCGAAAAAGAATTTCACATACAAAAAAAATTACTTCCTAGGTATCATTGCCGCAATAGTTAAAAAGTTATTAATCTCTTTTTTCACAACTTTGGATGCCAATTGTTATAATTATACAAAAATGGAAATGTCCAAAGCCTATAGAAAATCGACAAAAAAAAACAAACCAGCTAAAACCACTTAGCAAGTATATATTGATATCTATGTATGTATACGGGCGCTGTGGTGTAGTGGTAAGCAGTGGCACTTCCCTTCGCAAATTTACTTTTTAATGCATGATTTTTAATTTGCAAGAAATAATTTAACACTACATACATATATGTATGTATGTATAAGTAAGTGTATAACACTATAAATTATAGCTACACAGCTGCAACAATATATGTACATACATATTTAACTACATTATCGCATATCACTTAATTGCAATAGTTATTTACATATAACTATGCACATTAGGGTGGTCCTTAAATGTAGGAAGCAAATTTTTATATCAGATTTCCTAAGCCTCAGCCGCTACGTCAATGCTAGTATGGTCGAAGATTTCACATTAATATTTTGGTCCCGATTGAAGTCGGTTAGGCGCAAAAAATTTAGAAAAAAGGTTTTTTTCTTAACAGCGGTCGCCCTTCGGCAGGCAATGGCAAACCTCCGAGTGTATTTCTGCCATGAAAAACAGCTTCTCATAAAAATATAATCGCCGTTCGGAGTCGGCGTAAAGCTGTAGGTTTATTCCCTTTGTGTGACAATATCAAGGCGCTCGGCCAATTATTATGATTATTATCTGTCACAGTGGTATTGCCGATTATCGTTCATTTGATTTTTTTAAGGACCACCCTATGTACATATGTACATATGTAGGTACCCAGCTAGCACATTTTCCAGACAATTTCTGATATCAGACAAGTCGCACAAATGTCTCAATAAAAAGTTGACTATTCTGGGCGAAGTGTCTAGAGAATTTTATGTATTTCCTTATCCGATATGTTTGATCGAATTATGTCCGATTTCGGGCAGACACGTCTGATTATTCTTATTTCCCAGGATTTTTTGGTCAGACATCTGTTAGATATCCGTCAGAATCGTCGGTAATTAAGCCAGAATTTCCCACGACGTGTCGGTTAGACTTCCTCTCCATACGCTTCTCTGATCGATATCGGCCAGAAATCATAGATTTCAGACTTTTCTGCCGACGAGTCTGACAGATATCGAACAGATTTCTGGCAATTTTGCTAGCTGGGTGTATGCAAATATATTTCTACGCCTAAGTACATACATATGTATTTAAATAAATACTTATTTATTTATATGTTAATAATTTCAAGATGCTAATTAGCCATCGACACCCGCACCCACTGCTTATTATAGCAGATCTAGTTCGTTTGGTTGCGTTTGTATGTACAAACATATGTATAACTACATACATATATGTATGTATAATTTGTATGGGCATGAATAAATAATCATGAGCAAATAACAAATACTTACCCACACGAATAAAGACTAAAGCGCTGAACATTGACAACGCTACTGGGCTGAATACGCCAGCAAAAGTCCCTAGAGTACGACCGCTTCTATCCGGATCCTGCATACCGAACTCAACGTAACCATGGTCGCCTGCATTTGAGGGCGAATGTATGCCGCCGCCGCCGCCGCTGCCTATGTGATTGCTATTCGCTCCAAACAATGAGCCAAACGAACGAAACATTGAGGAAGCCCCACCACTGCGATGCGAGGCAATCGGTGCCATCTCATCGTTGGGAACATCACCGCCGCCATTGCGTCTTTCCTCTGGTTGCTGGATCATCTCAATTGTGCCAGCGGCGGTGGATACGTGGGCAGTTAAACGCGACAATTTGTGTTATTCACTCACACAAACGCCCACAAAAAATATACCAACTTTGGTCTGTTGTGAAAGGTTTCACAAACTTTTTCTATATATGTATGTACACCCGCGAGATTAGTACTTAACTGCCCACGAACGTAGTAAATAGAAGTGAAGTATTCTGCTTGTATTGAGTCCACCAAAAGCTATAGTTTCGCACGGCTGCACACACAGCAATCATATGTATGTATATCAGGTTGTATGCCCTTTTTCCAGCTGGTGAAAGCGAGTATACGATTCTTCTTGCTAGGAACACAAAATATTCACGTTAAACAGTCATCAGTTGTTTAGTTTCTAAAGCTTATAATATTCACTCCCACTTGATAGGAATTGATGGGAATCTTTTGAATTATCTCTTGGATTCGCTACGAAATCTACAAAAACCACAAACTGGACCAAGGCGGAAAACTAAACTGAATCATCAGCTGTCAAATTGGGAGCAAGTGGGGATACAAAGAACGAAGTGTAAATAAATGAAGAAAAATTGCGCAAAATAAACGGTGGATAAAAAATAAGTCAAAACAAAATTGTTGCGTTGCCATATTTAATTTTTTTGCAATATAAATTTTTTAACACTGTAAAAATTTTTTAGAAGAGCCAACAGGAATGTGGTGAATTTTTGAGCAATTTAACAATGTTGCGTTGGTCGCTTACTTATAGGGAATTTACATGATTCAACTTTCACAGGCGATTAGTTGAACCAAAAGTTGAACGAAAGTATGCAGCCGACCAACTTCATTGAAAGCGATTAGTTGAAAGGCCGTTTAAACTCCATGCATACTTTTCCATTGGAACAATTTTGACAACTAATACGTATATCTTCATTGTCATGACAGTATTGTCCGGTGTAAACCCTAAGTTAAGCTTACAATTACGTAAGCTGCAAGCAGAGAATAAATGTTCGAAATTGTAACGAGACCTTGAAGTAACTTTTAGCTTCCTGCATCTATCCAGACCTCTGAATTTGAACTGATTCAATTGTTTTTTTGACTTACTTGGTTGACCGAAGGAAAATCCTATTTGAATAGAATATGTATTATTATTATTAGTCTTCTGCTAATTTTTGCTATTCCTAGAAATTATTGAAAAAATAGTAAATGATTTTATATATGCAAAAGCTTTATTTACTTAGTTCGTTATGGCATAACCCTAAAATTTTCCAAATTCTGCGTAATTAGAGGACTTTTTTATAGCTGACACTATTTTCGAAAGACACTTGTTGCTTAAACTACATCTACAAAACCACAAACTATACATAATTCATATTGAGTATGTATAAATTTATATACATACATACATTATTAAATTTTAAGGACTAAAAACAAAATATACTAGGAAAGTTTTGGAAATTTAGGCATTATATTGATCGTTGATGCCTTAATAAATTAAGTAATAACCATACAAATGCCTTAAACGCGATGGCGTTGTTTACGTCAAGCTTTTCGGAAATAGTCTCCTGATCCATAAGAGTATCGTCGATCTTTAGCAGCATTCGATACAAGTACTTCTTCATCATATTGTGAAATGCGTTGAATTTTTGGGCGCATGATACTACGTACATCATTCAATGTGATATCCAAATCTTTGAAAGCATTCAACATGAATACAGCTAAAATTACCACAAAAAATCCACAAATATCTCCCAAGATATCTTCGAAACGCATGTGTGTAAATTCCTTGAAAAGTATTGCAGAGGCTGTTATGACAAGAGATGTAAACATTACATAATATACGGGCGTTACAATTCCTGTATTGAATACATCCAGCGCTTTGTTTAAATAATTCATTTGTATAGCAATGAAAGTAACAGTAACGCAAATCAGAAACCATGGCATCCAAGTGGCAAAATCGTTTCCAGTACCATTTATGGTATCGCGTATGGCCAATCCCAGCGCTTTGCATGACATCACAGTCAGTGAGCCAATGCCGGAGCACAAGTAAATATATACTGCAACATTAGAATGACCATATCTCGGTGCAATAAATAGTGCTACGTACACTGTTGAGCCAAGTATGCAAAGCACATAAAAAATGAATCCTGGATCTTGCAATTTTTCAAATAAAATCTCTAAATTTTCGACCTCTTTCTCTTTTGGTGAATGTATAACGATGATAGTTGAGCCTAGAATGCAAAGTACGCAACCGATTTTTCCCAGAAGATTGAGTTTTTCATTTAAATAATTTGATGCCATCACCGCGGATATGATTACGCTCAGGGCACCGAGTGGAGTAACAAGAGATGCTGGCGCAAAAGCGTATGCTGCGAAATTGGCGCCTTCACCAAGAGCCACTGCAAACGATTGAATGTAAAAAACAATTTTGGTGTATTAAACAAGATATAAATTAAATTTCTTATATATGTATGTAAAATCATGAATCATGAATCATGTGTACAATAAATTTATAGTGAAATTTAAACATCTACGCCTTATAAATACCTATGTATATAAAATGGAAATAACTAGTATGTAGGAACGCTTATTAAGTTTTCTTTTACTTACTCGTTAGCAAGCCTGCCCACCAAATCCATTCTTTTAAGTAACCATAGCCGCCAGCGGCAGCGCGCATTTCTCCTTGTCTACTAAGCCGCATAAGCGCCTTCTTCTTTATTATAAAACTCGAACCAATAAAAAAGCATGAGCAAATTGCCAATCCTACGCCAATATAGAAGTCAAGCTGGGAATACAGCTCGCCCAAGGAGGGCACGGGACTCGTTGAAGCTAAATTGCTAACGGAGCCGCTGCTCATGTCCATGACGTTCATGGCATTAGCCCCACTTCTTTCGCTACTCATCTGCGGGTGATATTTACTTGACTTCCTTAGATTTATTAGAAAAGGGCGTGACCAGAGCAAACCTTAATTCAGTAGCTTCAAAAGAAAGAATTTAAAGAAACTTCTCAACAATACACTTCGTTCATCAACTCTCGTAATGGGCAAAACAGTAATGTAGAGCTGGAAGACTATCGATGGCGCTATCGATAGTATCGATGGTTTTTAACTATCGAAAACATCGATGGTTTTGTAAGCACTATCGATAGCTTTCACTCAAAAATACATTATTCAGTAATAGTAAAAGGGCAGTTACTCACGAACGTAAAAAAGGAGAACGTGTCAGCTGACACAATCTATCTTATGGGATCTGCATGTTGACAAAAACTCACCACCGCAACCGGTGTTCTGAAAGCCGGCGGTACCTGTTTCATCTTGCGAGTCGGAAGGGACATTTAGCAAAGCATGGCAAATAATTTCAAAGCGCAGATGCTGCTTGAAGCCAAAAATCGTTGTTAACTTTTATCCCTTAATAAAAATATGGACATATTTTAGCAATTCTGATCTCATTTTCAATAGAACTTGTTATGTCTAATTTTTAGACTTTTTAATCAAAACTATCGATAGTGTCGACAATTTCGATAGTATCGTTACTATCGATGGTTGTGCCTATCTACAGTTTTCCAGCTCTACCATGATGACTCAAAAACACGAAAACAAGGAAGCAAAAAAAGTAAAGGCCCGTCCACATAGAACTTTCGCGTTGGCTTTGGCGTTGGCTTTGGTTTAACTAAACGCACGTTAAAAGTATGCTTGCTACAATGAACGCTTGAAAGCGAATACTTGGGCCACTAAATTAACATACTAACGACAGATAAATTAATATTTCATATCAATAATTGCATTAAAAATGATATTTCTTGCCCGCACTTGATTAAAAAGGAAAAATATTTCACATAATTCTATTTATTTGCAACAGCTGACGAGCGACGCACGCGAAAAGTTGAGAGTTGGCCATCTTTTTGCTTTGTGTTGGCGTGAGCGTTGTCGAGTTTTGGCTATGTGGACGGCTGCATTTGAATTCATGTATTCATACTCAGCTGTTAAAGCGACGCCAATGCCAACGCAACGCCAAAGTTCTATGTGGACGGGCCTTAAAGCTGCCTTAACATGAGGCAATTCTTTAAAAACCAATAATCGCCTTCAAAAGTTGACTTGCTGTCTACTTTGAGGCAAGCGTTGAGGCAATGTTGAATCCTCTAGAAAAATGCCGTGTGTAAAAGTTTTAATTTTGATAATGCAATAATGTTGCCAGACTTATTACTTTGGTAAACAACAAAATTTTGCTTTAGTTTTATTTTGAATAATTGTAAATAAAAATGTGTAATAATGCTGTTTAAGCAAAAAAGGTAAATTTATAACAAGGAACAACTCGTAGATTTACGTTCTTTGGTGCAACCCTGTGTCAAACTCGACATAACCACCTCCGAGCAAACTAAGCAGCCGCCATTTAATTTGGCAAACAAAAGTTTGTCTGCATAACACCGACCTTATAGATTTACGTTCTTTCGCTGTACGTATACACATTTTGTTCTGCTAGTTTTCACCCAGTGTGAAACCGTGCGTCATTCTAGTGTGAAACATCCCATGCGAAATAAAAAACCGATAGCGGCATCAATATGACTATCGATAGTTTTCGAACTCCATTTCATTCTAGCGATTGATTCACATTTCTTTCATTCTGCTGTTTTCTCTTTTTCCGGCTTTTGCCAAATTTTGTTGCGCGTCGGTGAATTTGGTTTTGGAAAATGTAAATCTGAAAAAAACGAGCAAAAAATGAATTTTCAGGCAACAAGCTGCTGTCGCATTTGTTTAAAAAGTGAGTTGCTTATGTCTATTTACCTTTACAGTCCAACGTTTCCAATGAGACCGATTGAAATTATAGAGAAGTTGAACATTTTTAAGGTTGGTGTATTTTAAAATGGTCAAATAAAATTATTGCTATTAAAAATATATTCTTAAAAAAGACAAGCTTGTTTTTTTTCTCATAGTACGATGAAACTTTACCTGCACTTTTATGTCAGTCATGCCTTTTTCGCTTGTTGGATGCCTATAACTTGCAGCAGCTAGCTGAAGCGTCAGAGCGGCGCCTACGTGACTATATCGTTAATAATGGCGGCAGTGGCCTTGGCTTATGTGGTCTAAGCACAAATTCAATGTGAGATTAAATTGATTCGCTATCATAATTTATTATTGATAAATTCAATTTAATTTCAACAGTAACCACGATTCCTCAAGCTTCTCCTCAACGGCCGCCATGGGTGATGCATGCAAGGACTCTGGTGTGACCGCTGCCATTTATGCGAATATATGCGACATGTTGGAGCGAAATAATGTGCAGGCGAATGGTGTGGTAGTCGCTGAGAATGGGGGATGTATGGTGACTGGAGATGATATCTTGAATGATATTGAGATTGATGTTAGCAGTTTAACACGTTCAGAAGCCAATGAGGATACACTGACCGAAGTACTCGCAAGTAAACATACAAATATAGCTTTCAATCCAGGGACTGGAAAAACTATTGGTGCAGATGTGGAAATCACGGTAATTTGACTTGATTAAATATATGTATGTAAAAAAAAACTTATGTAATAAATATTTTTTAGCCAGAGACTGGAAATGAGGTTGATGTACCTGTGAAAATGTCTGAAAAGTGCACGGAGTGCGGAAAAGTTTTCAAAAATTTTGGTTATCTGGAAGCGCATAGGCGCTTACATACAAACGAAAAACCATATCAATGCAAGGTATGTGGTTGTTTTCATTACATAATTTCAAACTAAAAAAAGAAAAAATTCAGAATAACATCTTACTTCCCTTATACTTGAGCGGAAAAACGGTGTCAAAGTTCACGTTTTCCGTTGTAGCCCAGAAACACATCATCCCAACAAACATTTAGGGTAGACAACGATTAGAAAACGACTCGAATTCTAATGTTTCTCTAAGGTAGAAGGTTTTCCGTTGTAGCCCAGAAACCCATCATCCCAACAAACATTTAGAGTAGACAACGATTAGAAAGCGACTCGAATTCTAATGTTTCTCTAAGGTAGAAGGTGAGAAGACGATTAGAGAAGCTGTCGAGAATTATAGCATTATCTACAAGGGGACTTAATTCTCAATATCGAGAAAGAAATAAGATATCTAATCGCTTTCTAACGTACAATTCTAATTGGTTTCTAATGTCTAATGTTTTTTCTAATCGAATTCTAACATAGTTCTCTAACTTGATTTTCAATTCGAGAACTACATTAGAATGCTAATGTAAAACCAAACTATTTCTCCAACGTTGTGTGTGTTTCACTGGGATATGTATAATTAAAAAAACTAGATAAAGTTCACAATAAAGTACTATGTCATCATATCACTGAGTCCATGTTCGGCAGTGGAAAATTAATAAATTGCGAATTTTAAAAGTAGATATTTTGCGAGAAAATAACAATTTTATTATCTGTAACTGATAACTTAAGATTAAAATTATTGCCCAAGCAATATTCATAAATACATATCTAAAATCTAATCGTGATAATAAAATTCAGACATTTATTTGCATCCGCTTAATCACTGCGACTAATGACATACTTTTTTTCTATGCTATGAGTTTTATTGTATAAGTACACATTTCCTTGTGCAATCACATTTTAAGAGTTTTGAGATACTTAACTTTAAATTAATCTTAATTGTAACTCGTAATATTTACGACACCATTCCCGCAGCACCTCAGTTTTCTAAATAAAAGTCGCATAAGTACGGCCACAAAGTACATGATTGCGAGAACAATAAAATAGCAACCATAAACAAAGAATTGTTCACGAGGTTTTAACCCATAGCCGGTATCAGTAACTACCACAAGTGTTAGAATCGACTGCAATACAAGTGCCGCCAGAGTATTAATGCCGAAAATTAAGCCAAAACTGTCTTCGGATAAATTCTCTGCAACAATAGCGCTCGCTGTTGTAATGACGAAAAAGTAGCAGATTCCAAAAAGAATGTACATTATGTAGGCCATCCAAACAAAATTCGTCTGTGATGAATAGATAGTGAAAACACCCATAAGAAGCGAACAAACAGTCAATATCCACATGTGCCACTTTTTATGATGACTAGTGTTAGCTATACCAGCCACCATGGCGCTACCAGCACCCAAGAGCGTTACAATCGCCTCTATAGCACCGTTGTAGAAACTCTCATTGCGCGGATCTATATCCTTCCAGAGAAATTGCACATAAGAGATCACCTGAACCTGACCACATGTTGCCAAAGCCCACCAAAAACTCCAACGGATTACTGTGCGATTGGTATAAGCACTAACAATTTGTTTCGTAAGTAGCTGAAAGGCATTGTTCCAGGAAAATCGAGGTGATGTAGTCAAACTGATGTCACTTGCAGCCGTTGGGATGGCAGCGGCGGAGCCGTTTTGTGGAAAAGCTAAAATAGAGAGCAAGAAAAAAAAATGAATACATATTGAATTGAATTGCAGTCGGTTGTTTATTTACTTGTTTTTTTTTTAACAATTTTAACTAATTTCCTCTGTGCTTAGCAACTCTAACTAGAAATCAATCACTCTTTGCCCAAAGTAACGAACTAAATTAAAATTTATTTACAGCTTAATCCACTGGATTAAATATGCAATTATATTTATTAAACCTTTATAATTATTAATTTTTTTCCCAGCGGTGTTTCAAATTATTTACGCTTTGAAATATGCCATTCTTATCGCAAACAAGCTATATTTGTTTATATTCTTGAGACTACACCCAATACCCAAAGTTTTACTTGAGCTTACCTTCAAGTTGTGAGCTACGGGAGTTGTCATTCTTCTGTTCTGTAGTTGGATACGAAACTTCATCTACATAAAAATACAAACTTTTGCCCACCGGCGGTAAAAGCACTGCTATAAAAAGTGATACTATTTGTGAGCCAAAGGAAATATAATTAAGACCTCTGTAGTCCATGACTTCGGTAGAAACCAAAACTTGAGCTACAACACCGCCTAAAAATTTTCCACATAAAATCGCTGATCGTGTATGACCGGTTACAATCTGATAGCGCTCCTTATCCACTTTAGCATAAATATATGTGTAATACGCCACTTCTGTAGCCATAAAGGTACCGTATAATACCTGGCCCACCTGTAGTTCCCATACTTTGTACGTCCACAGTAGTATGCCAAAGAGTATAATACCGGAACATGCGGAAACAATAATAATTGGTTTGTAGCGAAGTATATCGGTGATTAGGAAAACAATGGCAAGTTGTGCCAGCACAGCGTAAGTACCAAACGGATAGATTTCTTTATTAACCTGCTCCGCCGTGATGTTATGCCACGGTCCACTCAGGTATTCCGTAACAAACGGTTCTGAAGGGCGAAATTCACGAAAAAATCCGAAAATCCATAGGAGCAATGAAATACGTAACCACGCTTGCATCTCAACTGTGAGTGGTTTACGAACAGACAACAGCACTTGCGTCTCCCCTATTGTTTAGATTGTTGTTAGAACTTAGTTTATGAACAAACCGCGCACGACACACTGACCTTTATCGCAAATGCTCGCCGCTCGACTGATGGGCGGCGCGCTCCTCTAAAAAAATGAGAATTGTGTTAATACACGGAGACCTTGCCGCTAGCCGAATATGTTCGCAATCTTTTATTATCAATTTAAGTTTTGCGTTATCATTCTCATGAAAATAAAAACGACTGTAAAGATTAAAATGTGATTGCGTTCTCACATCACACAGCTGATACGTGGCGGATTGATAAAAGGCAAGCACATGAGAAAACTCGATGTATAGAATACATGCACACATACATGGAGTATGGGCAAGAGATGCAGCTGATTTGAGTCATAGAGAAAAAGGTTATTGTTACGTCACTTTTTCTATCTTTGCACCAGAACTAAAAATTACGAAATGTACATATGTATTTACTATATGGACATATACTCGTTCAACAAACCGGCAGTTTTATATAGTGGTGCATTGTGGTTTTTGTTTCTATAATAGCCTAACTGAAAAAATTAACGCTTGAGAGGTGTGACTTCAAGACTGATTAGAACCTACATATATATGTATGTATGTATGTATGTCTATACGTATATATGTACGTATTTTCCCAAGCGATGCACTCGCGTGATTTACACTAGACAACAAAACTTCTGCTTATAAATGCATTTTTCAATTGTGAAATCAATAAAATATTCGATATTTAATTACATAGTATGGACAAATGCAACGATTTATGTACATATGTATGAATGTAAGCAGATTTCCGTACTATAAACCTATCTGAGGAGTGCCACAATAGCAGTCCTGAATATGCGTAACTATGTACATACATACATATGTACAAATGTACATACATACATATTTAGTGCGTTCCAGAACATCTAAAATTTGGAGGTTTTGCAGGATTTAGTCCAAAATCGCTCCCGTACGCCACGTTTACATAAGGTTTATTAAAGGCGAGAACAGCTGTTCCCCGAATGGAAGATCGCCCTATCGCGGCAGCCAGTTCGAAAACGCCCTAACTCAAAAAAATTTTCAACAACGCCCTACTTCAGGATTTGATTTAAAACGCCCTATTTCAGAATTTTATTGAAAAACACCCTACCTCAGAATTTGGTCGAGGCCACCCTATCTCAGAATTCGGTTCAAAAACGCTCTATCTCAAACGAAAATACATACTTTCAAAATGTGGTGAGATATTATCAAAAATCAACGCGAATTCTTCGAAAAAAAGTTTAAATGTGAAAATTTTTAGAGTTCAAAGTTTGGCTTTAAATTTAATATACCAATAATATAGATGAATTTAAAGTAAATATCTTTCAAAGGTTTTATTACTACGCTAAAAATCTGAAAGTCACTAAACCCCTGAAAATCTGGTGTGGAGTTTTACCCATAAGTTTAAAGCTGTTAGAAGCTAAAGAAAAAGTATTAACATTGCAAAACACATACCAGGGCGCCAATTCTGGTTCTATGAAACAGTGATGTGAAAATGAAAAATTCAATGTCAGTGAAAATTTAATTTTTTCACTTTATCGTTTCGTTATATCATTTTAAGCGATTCTCGATCATTAAAGGCTATTTTACAACATCGAGCAAGTAATTTAATAAATTATTGTGAGTTTAAGACAATGATATTCTTTATCACTAGATGACTAGACTAGACTTGTGGAAAAAAGTTTTCACAGTGAAAAATTTTTGAAAAATTAATTTACATTTGAAAACAGAACCGTAATTTTGTGTGAAGTGATGATAAATATTTTCACTTCACGTTTTCACAGAACACGAACAAAACACCAGAACAAATTTTTGTCCTATGAAAAGTAAAGTTACTTCAAGTAAAAAAAAAAATCCTTCCCTCAAAAAGTGTCTACAAATTTTTAGACATCAAAGCGCGTTCTTAGCTGTGCAGTGTTGTTGTTTATTGATCAATCTATTCTATCGTTTAATTGATCATTTAAGAAAATTCCCGCTTCCATTTTTCAATTAACAAGCTTTCACTCTATCATAATAAATTATTATCGATAAGAATCACTGTTTTCTAAAAAAAAACTAATAATTTTATTTAATTATTGTATTGCCTTGTATATATTTTCATCATTAAGTGTGTACTTCAATATATTCCAGCAATGTGCGCGTCAATTTAAGCAATCCAGTAATTTACTATTGCATCAGCGTACACATACTGGCGAACGACGTTTCCAATGTGAAATATGTGCCAATTTCTTTACCACCTCGAGCAATTTGAAGGCACATAAGGCAATACACTTGGAGCACCGTGATTACCGCTGTAGCCAATGTGATCGTGAATTTAAAACGCGACGGGAATTGCGTCGCCACGAGCCGGTCCATAAAACGATAAAGGATAATGTATGTGAAAAGTGTCAGAGGGCGTTCAGCAAACGTAGTTATCTGTTGGATCACATAGCGGTCATGCATCGGGGCGTGCGGCGGCATAAGTGCGCGGAATGTGGCAAATTGTTTGGTAGACGATCGAATTTGGTGTCACACATGCGGTAAATTTGAAAAAAAAATAGCAAAACCTAATAATTTGGTTATATCTTTACGCTTTAGTTCATAGTTTTGGATGCCATATCGATTTCGTCGCTGTTTTTACTTTATCTGTCATTGCTCCAATTTTGGTTCAAGCCTGTCCATTATCTTATATTTCCCAGCCGCTCCTCTGCGTCCCTCGAGCTTTCCTTGTATTAAAAGTCTCAATTATTTCATATTTTTATCGCCTTATAATGTGTCCAAGGCAGTTTTTCTTTATTTCCTTTAAGAGTAGAAAGTAGAAGCTTAAAATTACATTTATACAATTGCATAATTTCATACCTATAGAAATTGTTTTTCAATAATTTAATGTTTATTTATTTTTGCACTCTTTGCAGCATACACTCAGGTGAAAAACCGTTCGAGTGCAAATTTTGTCCTTGGAAATTTAATCAATCATCAGCCTTGGCGCGGCATATGAAAAAGCATTCGAAAGGGTACATATTTATTTCACTTCTATTAAACTTATGTAAATCATACATCTGATAATTTCCATTATTCTAATGATACGCAGCAAAAATGTCGAATTGGGATTCAAAGCGGCAGACCAAGTATTAAAACACTCTGCATTAATGAATATTTTGGAAACACCAGAGATGGTGGTGGTAGCCGCCGGAGCAACTAACGACGTAAGCGCAGTCAACATAGCGCAACAAACTAGCTATAATGTTCTAAGCAATATAGCCAATTTGGGTGGCTTGCACTGTATGAACACAGAGTGCAATCTAGAAAATACATCAACGGACACGGAAAGTAGTGAGGTGGTGGAAGCGCTACAAAATAGTAGCGTTTATAACTTTACAAAGAATGACATACTGGATTTCTCTACAAATCAGCAAGTTTGTTAGGATGTACATATTTTCAAACTGGCGATGTTATTTTTGCTTAATATACTGATCGTAGAGCTGTAAGAGCTCGGGATTCGTCCGCGGTTGCACGGCATTTAATGCGTACTCGAAATGCGTCCATCGTACACGCTCAGCTTCAAAACTCTCCTCCAGACATTTCAATGCCGCCTCCTGGCATACGGCCTGTATTTCGGCACCTGAATATCCTTCAGTAAGTTGCACAAGCTTTTGCAAATCTACATCAGCTGCCAATGGCATTGGCAATAATTTTATGCGAAAGATTTCTTGACGTGCCTCGGTATCGGGCAGTCCAACATAGACAATACGATCGAAACGTCCCGGGCGCAACAGTGCTTTGTCAATCATATCTGGTCGATTAGTTGCTGCTACAATAGTGACATTTTCCAAAGCCTCAACACCGTCCATTTCAGTGAGCAGTTGAGTGAGCACACGTTCTTTAACCGATGTTCCCGAACCGCCATCGCCACCATCAGCTCGCTCGCCACCAATGGCATCGATTTCGTCGAAGAACACAATGGCCGGCGCTACTTGACGCGCCTTGCGAAAGACTTCGCGCACTGCACGCTCCGATTCGCCCACCCACATCGAGAATAATTCAGGCCCTTTTATGGAGAGAAAATTCAGTTGACTTTCGGTGGCAAGCGCCTTGGCGATCATTGTTTTGGAACAGCCTGGCGGACCGAACATTAGAATACCACGAGGCGGTTTCAAACCGAGCCGTTCAAACTTATCTGGATGCAGTAGTGGCCATTCTATAGCCTGTTTGAGCTTCAATTTCAATTCGGCCTGTCCACCGATGTCACTCCAATGCACATTCGGGTTTTCTATGAGCACCTCACGCATAGCCGATGGTTTGATATGTGTCAGTGCGGCATGCAAGTCTTGCAAATGCAGAGGACGTGCATCATCTTTTAGCGCACGTAACGAAGCGGCGTACACAAGATTGGCCAAATCAGCACCAACATAACCATGCAGCACTTGGGCCACATCATCAATGTCGGCAGGTGAGAGTTTATGTGTAATGCTGCGGAGAAGACAGCTTAGTATGGCAGCGCGTTGCTTGGGCGTCGGTGCGCTGATTTCAATCTCGCTATCCAAACGACCACAACGGCGTACATTTGGATTCAGTGCGTCGATTTGAGATGTTGTAGCTAACAAGAAGGTGCGTTGTGCTTCCTTTTTCGGTCCGTTTAGGATGTCCAGCGCGCTTAGAAAGGCCGCTCCCACACGTTTGGTCATTTCATTTGTCTCATACTTTGGACAAAGATTGTGCACGTCCTCTATGACGATAAGAGTGGGTGTCGGGTAGATTTCGAATGCCTTCTCGAAATACGACATTAGATTTTTTTCCGTTTCGCCGAGGAATTTGCTAAATAATTCGCTGGTGTTAATCCGAAGCAGCTCGACTTTGGTTAATTTAGCAGTCTTCTCCAGCATTGTTGAGCACATGACTTGGCAGAGTAAGCTCTTGCCGCAACCAGTGGGGCCATGTAAAAGAAAACCACGCGAGACTTTCACACCTGTAGGGACATGAATAAAAAACGTTTTAAATAAAAACACAACCATACCCAATTTGTTAAAACATTTTTAGCTACGTAAAAATAACGTAAATCAGTAAGTAAATAACCTGCAGGTACGACATTTAGTCCAAAAGCCATATCTATCGCTTCCTCTATCATTTCAATTTGTTCATCTAGCCCGCCAACATCAATTTTAGTTACTTTATTATAATTTGTTGAATTTTCTTGTGTACTCTGTGATTTGTGTCGTTCAATTTCAAGTCGCGTAGCACATGTTACTTCAAAAAACCGCGGTTCCACATCGCACTCCAATTTTAAGCTCTTAAATGACTCCTCCAAATTGGTTTCATCTTCAGTGTTACTCGTTGCCACTCCAAAACTAGACCATGACACCACTTGCAAAGTTAGGTCTTTGTTGAAGAAATCCATAAATATTCGGCTACCTGTTGTAAATATTAAATTCTTTAATTCAAGCTTTAACAACCGCTCTACGTCCTTAAGCTGCGCATCCATGAGCTCAGTGGTTTCGCCTACAATAGATGTTACACGAAGACCAACCGACTTAGCTACAGAACAGGGTTGCAGCAAGGCAGATATTTTAAGTGATTGACCTCCAAGATCACTCCCATACATTTTAAAATCTGGAACAGCAAATCTTAAATTAATGAAATGGCTTAATTTTTCTTGAATCGCATACCGTCCTCGCTGACAAAGATCGTTGTTAAAAACCTGTCCGGTATGGGCCAAACTAGTCTGACTAGGCCTACTGCCTCCGATTTTTTTACTGGTTGTATCAGCACCCTTTGTCCAATATATAAATGTGTTAAACGTATAGCACCTTCCGAAATGAATACTAAATTGTTAATGTATTTGTTTGGCACATCATTCAATTCTTCTATATGAAAACTGCGCTTTTCCACTCCAGTTGTGTAAAGGCAGTTATTATGGATATATTCTAGCGGTTCGCCGGTATCTGCGGGAATAGGACAATACTTCTCGTGCGTTTCGCGATCTTTTGATGTAATGTGGACATCGCATAACTCGCAGTGATACCAAGCGGCTACACTGCCACCAGATTTCTTATTTGAACTCTTTGGAGGCATCTGTTAACAAATTCCAACACACGCTCTGAAAATTTGTTTACAACGCAGACACGTGCAGTAGAAATAGAAAAATCGGCGATACAATCGATAGTTTTCGAATAAAAATAATTGATAACCAGTTCCTTTAGGTAATATTAATCAATTTCAAAGCAATGTTCATTTCCAACGGAACTGCTTTATAAAGCTTCTATGTAGATCTATCTGTTGAAACATAGGGGCATGTTACTTGCAGCTTTTTGACATTATTTTAAATGGAATAAATTTCCTGGCTGTGTAGGAATGGTGATGGTGTTTATTAATATTATCGATGGAAATCTGTGGTCCATACTATCGATAGTTTTTCACTTCTGTCGTGCAGCGTAGCCCCATGAACAAAAGACACAAGATCACGCCTTAAGGAAAGAAAGAATAAAAGTTATTTTCTAGCTGTCGAAATCTCGACGCCATCTTTGTTGTAAGAAGTAAACAACAAAGAGAACGCAAAAAACCGCGTAATTATTGAACGCATGAATAATCATTTTTATTATGCAAATTCTTCTATAAATCATGTTGTGTTAAATTTTTCTTTACCTTATGTGTACACACGTTGTCACAAGCGAATATGAAGAAAATTGCAGTGAAAAGCTACCACCAAATTGTAAACAACGAACAAATGCAAACAAATCGCTAATGTCAAAATCGGCTACTTTTTTCCTAAACGCAATTATAACAGGCTACTGTTTCGATGGCGTGATCTTGTATTTTTGGTTCATGCGTAGCCCTACTTAGGGATGTCGAAAAAACATCGATGCATAGAAATGCCCGTCAGAGAGGATTTCGAGAATAAGTTTTGTGTGACGTCACACTGGTGCATTTGTGAGAGAAATGCCAAAACGCAAGCAAGAATGGAAGAAGTAGAAAAAAATTTTCAAGTAAAACGTAAACAAGTTGCACATGTGTGACGTCATACAAACAGCGATTCTGTCAAATTCACCGAGGGCGGAATAGCGGTACAGAGATGGGCGCCACCTTTGTTCTCTACATCGTGCTTTGTCTGAACTTCATAGATAGGAAGATGCAGTTTTATAGCTTATAAAATGTTAGTTTCAATTGCTTTGAGTTTTAATATTTTTTCTTTGGCTGACTTGCTCTGTTAAGCTTAGTATCCAGCTCTTAAGAAAAGCAAAAACTCCATATAAAATGACGTACAAGAAATGGCTAAGAAATTTTCTTGAGTCAAATTTCCTTAAGGCAGTACGCAGTTCTTCAGAAATTTAGTACGCTTTCTACTACGGTTTTCTAAAGTTTTTTTGTGAAAAAAGAGCACAAGGCAACCCAGGTTTGCAACAGAAATATATGCCCGTTCCATTATTTCTTGAGGAAAGAGTGAGGCAACAGGCTGTGCGTTATCAAAAATGTCAAAATTCCTTGGACACACACGCGAAATAATGGCAATTTTTTCTTGACCGTTTTCTTAAGAGCTGGATACTAAGCTTTATAATAAAATTTTATGAGCTATAAAACTACATAGCCAAAAAGGTTCTTATGGTTTTATTCCCATAATGGAGGAAAACTCTTTGTGTATCGATGCTATGAAAAACATCGATGTATTTTTGCCACTGACATACCTAGCCCCACTTGCGATAGGGCTGTTTCACACTAGAATGGCAACAATTATTCTCACGCCCTCACACTGGATGAAAAAGGCCAAAATACAATAGCGCAGTAGCAGTGACAGTGCCGGTTCTTAAAATCAGCTGTTACTGCTAATAATGGCAGTCACTGTCGCAACAAATACAATACGGCGTTGTCAGTGACACCTTTTTTGACATTCCCCTTTGTTTGTTTACATTTTCGTTGTTGTCTTTTAGGCTTCAGTGACATGAACAGAAGTTGGCTGGGCTGCATTTTATTTATGTCAAATTCAGCATGCGAAGTTTGCTGCGATGAAGGCAGTGGCAGTGAATTTAGAATTGAGCAGTACTACCAGCTCTCACTGTTGTATTGTGAGTCGCTTCATTGAACACCACACTTTCTAAAAAACAGAAAAACAGCAGGGGGGATACTCTGTAATGCGATACGAAAGGGCAATGCGATGCGATAACCAAATACGCCGTAAATAATATGCTGTGACGATTGCCTATCGCATCGCATTTCTCTTTCGCTTCGCGTTACAGAGTAGCCCCCCTGATTTCGAAAAACTGCCACTGCCACTGCGTTATTTGGGGTGTTCACAGTTCGTTCCAAATAGTGTCTCAAAATGTAGACGTCTACATTTTAAGACGTTTTCTAACCGTAAAATCTGTGGTGTTGTTGTTTCCCATACAAAATTGGAAAACGACGCCGTCTACATTTTGTCACACTCAAAGGTATGTTTTTTAAGCGTCTACATTTTGCAACCTCGCAGCAGGGTTGCATTATGGCAATACTAATCACATTTTTTTTATTTATTGGGCACGTTTTCTGTATTTGCATTTAATTTGAGCGCAATTTCTGATGAAAAGAAACAAATCAAGGAAAAGAAATAACAAATATGACGAATTGCTAATTAAGTTAAATAATTACAATTTTTCAGAAACAAAATCGAAAGGCGACATATAAAAAATGCACGCAAGGAAGAAATGTCTGGCAACACCAGCAAAGTTTTGAGACGATTTTGCGACGACTGCTAGAAAGGGGTGCTCACAGTTTGATGCTAAAGATGTCTCAAAATGTAGACGTCTACATTTTCAGACACAATTTGGAACGAACTGTGAACACCCCAATTGTATTTTGGGCTAAACTATCAGAATAAAATGTGTATACGTATAGGACGTTTGAAAGTATTTGTAACTTTTGCGCTTGAAGGTTGCGTAGCGGCATTTTCGTAAATGCGCACCTGTCGGTGCGCTGCAGCAGAACTGCTATTTTGATGCGGGGTAGAAGCTGGAACAACTTTTTGAGAAACTTTACCTCACGGCACTGCCTCTCTTGCATACAAACTAGGTTCTTTCCCTAACAATCCGGATAGAGAATAAGCGAAAATTTTGCTCAAAAGTGGAACATAGTCCAGAAGTACGGGAACGCAAAAAACCAAATTTCGTGCCCAGAATTTGAGAAAGGTCTGATTCGCGTTATTTTTGTTTTTGTCACTTCAATGCAATAACTTGGAAATTGAATTTTGATTTCACAAATTTGATTTTAAGTACAGCTGATATGTACTTTGACACTTTATCCATTTTTACCCAGAGAAAAAGTCCGGGCTGTTTCGAGCAGTAAGAAGACACCTACAATTCAATACGATGCAATTTTCGCTATCTATTACCCATTTTATTGAGTACGGGAATGATTTCTGGACTGTTTTCGGCACCCGCGGGATCCCGCGTTGCGTACGGAAAAGAACCTACTGAGTTGTTCTCGTGGCAGAAATGTTCCAGTGTGAAACCGACCATACAGCAGATCAACTGTGTTGCCGCTCCATTGTGAATATCGATACACAACAACCTAACAAACATTTAGGTTTGAGCTCAACTTGAGGTTAAATTGAAATCGTTCTCAATCATAAGAGCATTTTTCTTTGTATGAAAATGGGGCTGTTTCTCAAGTTGAGAAAATGCTGGTTCTCAACTTGACCTCCAATGTGATTCTCCAATTGGCCAGTACAATTTGTTTGGAGCTTTCCACAATAACGCGGCGCTAGCGCCGAGCAAAGGGAGTTTTCATTTTTGACAGGGCGTTACATGTTGAAGTTGGATGCAGAAGACGGAGAGAAAGAGAGAGGACAAAGGAGTGAAAGTGGAAACGAGAATAAAAACAAGCGGAAAAGAGAAAACGTTATAAATTACGCCGCGTTAATTTGGCGATAGCGCACAGTGACACTCGTTTACAATGGAGAACGCAACGCTTAGCGCTTCATTTTAGGGACGGCAGTAAGCATTGACGCCGCGTTATTTCGGTATGCTTCCTACAAATTGTATGGGTATGAGAATTTTTTGACTGCCAGAGAACGCTGACACTTTGGTTTAGGTATGAATCAATACGAATTTATAAAAGGTGGTGTTACTGGCGAATGTAGATATTCGCCGCGGTCCTTCTGAGTGTCAAAATTATGTGTTTTTTGTAAACAAAGCGAGCTCATATTCCTTCTGAGTGTCAAAATGATGTGTTTTTTATAAACAAAGCGAGCTCATATTACAGCAAACACATCATTTTGACATTCAAAAGGACCGCGGCGAAAATCTAAATTCGCCAGTAACACCACCTTTTATAAATTTGCATTGGATATGGATGTTACAAATATTAGGGCCTTTCCCGTACGCAACGTAGGAGCCCGAAACAGCCCGCACCGGTAAAAATGGATAAAGTGTAAGAAGTCCATACAAATTTCATTGGATTCTGCTCAAAAGCCGGCAGAAATTTTTATGAATCAGCTGTTCAAAACGAAAAAGGAAAAATTTGGCAAGTTTCTGTTAATTCCTTTTAATAAAATCAATCAATCGTTATCAAAACACATTTAAATATTGCAGAATGTAAGTATTTGTGCATGTATTTGACGTATGTGTGTGTGTATACAGTGATTGCAAATTTTTGCTAGTTGACGTTTCTTTACTTTTTACTCTTTCGCTCTCTTTGTGCGTAAATTTATACTCTTATCCAATTGTTATCAACCGTTGTAAAAAGTTAAGAAACACGCCTGTGGTTCTTTTGAGTTCCCGTAATGAACGAAGAAGAAATCAGCTGATCTAATAACACCACCTTGTATGAATACGCTTTGGCCGTTCTAGTGAAATTTTTAGACCAATCGTAAACAACTGTTGCTTAGCAACAATAAACAAAACATCTAGAGCAAAACAGAAGTAGAAAGTTATAGTGGACTTATTTTAAGTGCAAATTTCTAAAAAATAAACATTTAAATGATGGATTGGGCAGAAGAACTAAAACTATCCATCCGCAAGGTATGTACAATGAGTGTAGTAGAAAACAGGTTTGAAGGATGTATGTATGTCCCAAATAGAAAACGGCACGGAAGGGACGTCGCTCCAAAAGCCGTGATCCGATTGGCGGTGCTTCCACCAGCATCAATGTGACCAATCCGAATGAGAAAGAGATTGCTATCGATATAACATTAGGCATGCACAAGGATACCAGCACTGCTGCAAGCGAAGAAGCCGATACCTCGAAACGCCCACCAGTGCGACGTATTTCGGGCGGTTGGGCTGATGTTGGCATACTAAAAAGTACAAAGTAAGTTTGGGATTGTAAATAAGACGGTTTTGTTTCATTTAATATGCATATGTATGTTTAAACTATTTTCAGATCTAAAAAAGGCGCTTCCTTTGATGAGTGAGTGTAGCCAAAAATATAGATTTTTTGATTATATCTATTTGCTTAAATTTAAATATTTTTATTTATTATTGAAGCGAACGCTTTCAAAGTGTATCACTGGCAAAGTCACCAATTGGCTCACCACCACGGGACGACATACCGACCATTCCTGACATGGATGATTTAAAAGATGAAATCTTACTTAACGAGATCGTCGAACCGCCTGCGTATGTAGAAAACCAATTACGAAAAAAATATGTTGTATTTTCTATGTCGCAAATTTTTTAGCGCCAGCAATCTACGTCCAAACACTTTAAGTGAACTCAATTTGGATTTGTTGAATCAAAATGCATTTGCCTCCTTGGAGAATATTAATCTATCTATATTGACACGTTGCCTTAAGTTGCCTGAAACTTTAGATGAACCGGACGAAGTTTGGGAGTGGGATAAATTATTTACTGATGTGATTGCCGAAATACATTCTGAACAACAAAGCTTTGCTGGCAGCCAGAAAAAAGAAATAGGCCCAGATGAAATACCGCCACCAATGTACGCATAGTTTAACGAAAAATTTGCCTGCTGCTTAGACGCAAAAGCAAAATTAAATGTATTAACAAATCAATGCCGTAAAAATGTAATCACTAAAAAATTCAGTTAATTTATTAGCCATAGTCGTGAAAATAAATTTTACATATCACTCACGTACATACCAATACCATTTGGATAGTTATTACATATAAATTTTGCAACTTAGCAATTTTAGCACAATTCAAGCACGTACATCCTGTGGTGGTCGTGCATCATTTAAAGCATTATTCCCAACATTTCTTACTTCTTTAACTGACTCTTCAGTTGGTGGCTTTTCTTCATTTCCTAATGCATTTTTCTGCAATACACGCTGAAGAGTTTCTTCATGCACCAAACCATATTCGTCAGCAAACTCTAGCAGATCGCAAACGATTGGTGACTCCACCACCAAAATATATTGGCATGTTTTTGGCTCTAATAGGTAAATGGAAACCGCGCTCGAACTACTACTGATAGGCGTGCACATTAATTTGACATCTACTTCACGTGGAGATCCGGTGCGATCGCAGTGTGTCCCTCGATCATAATGATGCCAAAGTGCTGAGGAATAGCCTCCTTGCTTGGGCATTTTATCAAGATTTTTGGCCAGCCATTGCCGATGTGAGTTCTCCGAAAAGTACCCCAGGAAGAGTTCTGATTCAGATTTTTTGTCCTTATGAAATTGACGCACATGTCGACCATAACAGAACTCATACTTCCACCAACCAGTGCCCTAAAAAATGTTTTTAATCATAATTTGTAAGAAATTACTAATTTCTCTAAATATGATTTTTAAATTTAAATGATTTTTAAATTTAGTTAAATGTTTCACTTCATTCAACTTTTTATAAATTTAGAACTATACTTACGCCAGTTAAACAATTTTTACCCGAAATAAATTCTTTGACTGCCGTTAAATCTGTGATAGGTGCTTTTGGTACATGTGGCATAACTTCATTATTAACAGCTGGTGCGGCAGGCACGTCAACACCCGCGCCAATCATCAATTCAAGTACAAGTTTATCCACATCCGTGCCGATTTTATTAAAGAAAGACAATCGCTCTGTAGCTGCTGCAGAACGAGCCAAAGCCATAGCCGCAGTACTAGCATCTTTCGATACGGGTAATTCATCATCGGCTAATTGCATTTCACTAAGCTCTTGACGTAGCATACTAAGCGGTTTATGTATCTCAGTGGGCGAATTGAAACATTTAATGGGAACCTCCTTTGATTCTTCTGGATGAAAAGCGGGGATCATACAAAGCACTGATGTCAGAATAATAGCCTCATAATTACAAGAAGATGTTTCTTTAAATGAATATATTTCGTTCTTGCCATGCGGATAGCAAACATAACGTACATGAGTTGTGCGGGGCGAGTCAATAATATCGCACATAGTACCATCGGACATTGCTATTTCAAAATATGGGTATCTAGTATTTTCAATTTTCGTCGTCTTATATTTCACACCTGCTTTGCGGTCACTTTCCCAAGTCTTTGTTAATTCTTCGGTCTTTGCGTCTGACCATTTGCCTAAGTAATATTCTTGTAGTTTTACATTTTTTCCTGCAATTAATGCGAAAAGAAACATGTTTTTTTAGGACAAATAAGTAATAATAAAGCATACCTTCTCTTTCTTCGTGCGATTGGCGTACGTGTTGACCATGGCAAATTTCATACGACCAATAAGCTTCAATCCTGTATGAACAACTCGATGTCGAGAACAAAGGCTGCAGCAGAGTTATTGGCGCTAAAAAAAAAATATTCAAGACTCATTGTTTAGGTATTTGACTTACAGGGAACGGTTTGGTTATTTGTACATTAACCCGAATCAAAAAATTTTAACATACACGTGCAGTCAAAGGATTAAACTTTAATTCAAATATCTAAGCACTAATTTATCAATAAATTCGGTGTGAAATATCGCTAGCTTAGTGTGAAAAATTGCTAAGTCCACTTTTTATGAAAACTCATATTTTGATATAGGAAGCAAGATAAATTAAAAATGCAACCTTTCGAAAAGGACTAGGGCACTTGTTTTATTTTTTCGTTTATATTGATAGAAAGGCAAATTCGTGAAGTCCAAAGGAGGCACCAAAAATCCGAGTAGGCGAAAATAATTCGAAATCTTTTAATACCGATCGAATCCTTCTGATCCGAATGGAGTTTCGCTTTTCTTTAAACACGCGAAATGTTGTATTCAAAGTTTTGTGAAATACTTGAAGAATATTGCTATACTTTTTTTCCTCTTCTGTAAAATTTGTAAAAGGGGACTTGGCAACTTTCCACTCTAAGCTAGCGATATGCTTTTTTTTTGTAAATTGCGAGGCGAGTTCCAAATGGCGTAGCCCGAGTTGTACTGATGAGGGTTTTTTAAGCGCGGCCGAAGGCTAAACTAGAGTGGAATTCTACACAAAAATACTGCGTATGCGTAACCTCAGCTTACATCTTCTGTCAAAATGGTAATTTTAATCCATTTTCAGATGGCTGTTGTGGTAGCGACTCTTTCAAATGGATGGGCTTCTAGCTGCCACATCGTCTCCCTCTCCGCCCACCACAGCAAAACTATTGTACAAATAACCGAACATTTGCCGACTTACATATGTATGTATATATGCATTTGTGTATATTTAAATTTTCTTACAAAGTTCAGGTTCAGTGGAAGTTTGCTCCTCTTTGGTGTCTTGAACAACTGGTATAACGCAGTCATATTTCTCATGATCATGTGTGTAGAATGTACGGAGATGATTTTTCAAGTCCTATTCAATGTTAGGGTATAAGTTTAAAGAAAAAAAAATCATAGATGAAATGATTGTTGCTTACAGGATCCTTGTCAAAATCCGGCATTTCAAAATCGATTTTATAAAGTACTGAATCATCAAAATCCTTGGCTTCATGGCACAACACATTGCTAGCTATTAAAACATATAGCGTGAAGAGTAAAACTAAACTGCAATTTCTATATTTTAATGCCGACATTTAGATTTAGAGTTTTTTGCAATAGTTATTTAAAAAAAATGAACTGATGTGTCTTTAAACACAAAAATCAGCTGTTAAAAAGAGTTGCCCGCAGTCCAAAAATCATAAACATTTTCATAGGACCGATAGTTGTCTGCAGAATCGATAACTTTGCGAAGAAGGGTCTTTTATTTATTTATTTATGTAGATCAAATAGAGTGGGGCAGTCAATTTGGGAGAATAAGGTTTAACTTCTCATTCGAAAAATTTTTAATTGCAAAAACATCGAAAAATCGATAGTATCAAACATCGATGCTTTTGCAGCACTAGTACACTGCATTTCTCCCAGTTATTAGTCTGTGTTTATACACCGAAAATTTTGTCGACGCGATTTTTCATATTCCCTTTTAGTGTTGCTCGTTTCATTTACACACGGCATGCAATTATTGTTGTCATCTGTAAAGCGATAGCTCAATTTACATAGACGAACGAGAGCACAAAGTGTGTTGCCCGGGCACGAGCAACTCGGTGCCCCTCTCCTTTCCTCGTTACGCTCGCTCCTACAAACGTCGAGTTACCCCAACAAAAATCGCCATGTGTAAATGAGCACTTACAGAATCCAAACTAAGCCCTGAATAGGGATGAATCGATACCATAGAAGTATCGATACCTGGACTTGGAAGTAGCATCGAAAGTAAGTATCGATACCTACTAAGTATCGGTCTAAAGGTATCGATACCTACTTATATCGATATTTGTACCTATAGGCATGACTGGGTTCACACAGAGAAACTTATGGTGCTCATTTTCGCAACTTCTCTTTTGGTGTTGCCCTTCCCGTTCATACAGAGCAATTTTGTACACAATTGTTGTTGTCAGCTGTGAACGGCCAGCCAGAATTACTCCGACGAACGAGAGAATTCCTCGTCACTCCCTCTCCAACAAGTAACGAGTTGCCGCGACAAAAGTTTATCTGTCTGAACCTAGACTATGTAGCTCTCAAGAAAAGCAAAAACTCCATATAAACTGACGTACAAGAAATGGCTAATAGCCCAGTTATGCATACTTAGCTTTGCATAAGAGTCGCCACATAAGAATGTGTTAAATGGGCTTTGCGTGTAAGGGGTTATAATAGCCCAGTTATTCATACTTTGCTACTCTGCTATACAATTTTTACGTAAAAATCAAAACCCAACATAATTCTACATGTGAAGTGCTATGCGTTGGGTAACCGCTTACACGCAAAGCCCATTTAACAGATTACTTATGTGACAACTCTCATGCAATGCTAAGTATGCATAACTGAGCTATAAGAAATCTTCTTGTGTAACATTTTCTTGAGCAGTACGCACTTTCTTGATAGTTGCATACTGGTCTTAAATTCCTAAAAGTCTCGTAAACCTCGTAAATTTACGAGCCTCGTAAAAGAACTGTCAAAATTTGTTGCGAGTCAACTTTCTCGTGTAAAGAGCCAGAAACTCCTTTCTGCAGATTTGCAGAAATCGCAACTGAAATTACGAAAATCGATTTCGAGAAATAATTTCAATTTTCTGATGGTGCATTAGCAATTTCATTTTTGCTACACAAGTGCTGTCAAACCAATCGAGTGTTGCCATTAAAAAAAATAGAATAAATGAAATTAGTTTAGTCATTAATTTTATTATAAGCATAAAAGTATCTGGTGACATAGTTGAAAGTGGACTTGTCTGCTTTACCGTGTAAACAGGCAAAAAGTAGTATAGGAAAGTTTGATTTTCAGAAATAAAAACAGCTTTCGAAAGCCACTTTACATGCAAGGTGCAACTTTTTCTGCAATCTATTTTGGAAATTAGAATAATAAAAAATCATTATTTCTGTAATTTTTTTATAGTTGACTATTTTTCACAGCTTAAAAGGTTCTTAAGAAAAAACTATTCATGAAACATTAAAAACTTACCGGTTTTAATTTCTAATTTTTGGCGGTTTTTGGGATTTTATAACTTTTCATAAAGCGAAGCGCACATTGGCGCGATTCTGTCGTTGGGAATACGTTGCGAATTCGGCTGTTAACTTCGAATCCGCAAACGTGCGCACACTTGAGCGATTTTTTCGCGTCGATTTCCGATGTACAATTCACTCAATTTTCCCTTTATTTCGTGTATTTTCGCACTCGGCGTGCCCAAATCGTACAAAATACTATTATTACGAACGTTTTTATTAGTTTTTGTACATTACAGGTTTTTTTTTCTTTGCCTTTATTGCTGTGACACCTTTCTTCTTCTTCTTTGACGCCTTCAAAACGCTGCAAGCTGCGTTTCGAACGCGTCAATAGAGAGGAACATTGAATGTTCGAAAAATTCGCAGCGACGGAATCGTGCAAGTGTGCGCTAGCGCATTAAAATGTATGGGTAGCATTGTTGTAATTTTTGGGCTTGCGAATTCGCAACGACAGAATCGCGCCAATGTGCGCTTCGCTTAACTGCCATCCCTAAATTGGCGCGACAAGCGCCAAGCAACTGTCAAAAATCTTCATGCCCATACAATTTGTATGAAACATCCCACAATAACGCGACGCTAACGCCGAGCAAATGGAATTTTCATTTTTGACAGGGCGTTACGTGTTGAAGTTGGATGCAGAAGACGGAAAGAAAGAGAAAGGACAAAAAAGTAAAAGAGGAAACGAGAATAAAAACGAGAGGACCTGAGAAAACGTAAAAAATTACGACGCGTTGATTTGGGGATAGCGCGCGCTGACACTCGTTGACAGTGGATAACGCAACGCTTGGCGCTCCAATTTAGGGACGGCAGTAAGATTGAACCTGATGAAGGTTTACATCAATTTGATTTCCCAGATAAACTGAAAAGTGTTTGTATTAATTTGATGCACTGAATCATTTTTAATGATAATTAAAAATCAAATAAGATTTTGTAGTTTTATAATACCGAGACGACCAATTCTCCGTGTCTGTTTCTTTTTTAACGATATGTTTATTTTGAATATGCATGGCAATACATTTGAAACAATTCACCACGAAACAAAATGGAAAGCGAGATTGGAGCATGATGTCGCAGCTGCAGAAACGATTGCATACGAACAAAATTAACGAAACGAAACGAACAAAAAGGGGAGAAGAAAACCGAGCGTCGTTTATTTTTGTGCTGCCAATTATAAAAACTATTTTCAAATTAATAATTTTACCGATTTTGTATTTCACTCTTTTCAGCATTTAAGTTTACAAAATTATCTAAGTTGTAATAAAAAATTTTGGTCAGCGTTTTGGCATTCAATCCGCTTTCCTTTTAAGCTTAATGTAGCATTTTTATGTATAATCGAAATATTTTCATGATTAGTGTGGCAACAATTTCGATGGTCGGCCTTTTGTGGCTAGAAGAATAAAATACTGGCAGCACTGGGTTCAAGCGAAGTGGCGAACGAGCGCTGTCTGCAATTTTATTAATAAAATTGCCATAAGATCACACAAATAATTAACAATTATACAAAAAAAGTATTCAGTAAAGTACAGTTCCACTAAAGCAAGTGAAATCGGTGTGAAAAGTAAGTTTAAAGTTGCATAAAAGCTGAAAAAACGAAGGAAACGACGAGGGCAAGTAGCTAAGCATAGCGTTTGGGTTTGGTTTTTTGTCGTCGTTTGCTTTTCCAATTTGTGTGTGAGTTGGTGCGCTTTCGTGAGATTATTGTTCTGTATTGCATTTGTTGGATAATTTTTTAATGTTTTGTGTTGTAGAAACGCGAGTTGGCGAACGTCGCTTTATAATGGCCGCCTGAGAATCATGATGAAAAAGTGTTAAATTGGGACCTTATAATCGTATATACCTACATATGTATGAAGGTGCACCAGTAGAAATATAGCGAAAGTGGAGAACAAAGTGTAAAACTGAGAGAAACATACATACATATGTACATAGGAGAAGATAATTCGAACGCTTAGAAAAACGAAATTCAATAACTAAAGACAACAAAAGTTAAATAGCCACAGCACCAAGTGAGCTAAGTGAAAAAATACATACAATTCCAGCAAATTTTATTCATACTTCGACATCTTTTGCCATAGTGGAGGGTCTCCGATGTTTTTACTGCTGTCGCTGCTATTCGGAAAATGTCTCATTTGCCATTGGATGCACGCGCCATTTTGGACTATTTAAATGAATTGGGTTACAGAAACATATCTGCCGAGCAGCTCAAGGAATTCATGAAAGGTAAACAACAATGATATACTATATATACAAAATATACTATATTTGTTTGCATGCCATATACCCCGTATGTATGCATGTACATAAATATAAAATACATTTCTTAGGTTGTTTACGATCATATTGCTATCATATACACATTTAACATTTCCCACACGCCATGCATTTACTATTTTGTACATATTAGTTTTAAATTCTAATAGTTTCTTCTAAAAATGTTGAAAATCGCTTTATGTTTCATTCAACAATTTATTTATGTATATATGCCTGTGTATCCAAAGCTTTTTATTGTTGCCATGGTCTTAGTCGTCAGCTCTTCCTATGAGTACTCTAACAAAATCCCATGTACCCGGTGGCTCTGTCCTTAGGTCGATTTCAGTTTCTAAATGCATTTTATTACGTTTTTCAAGTAAAAATACATGTATACGCATATGTAACTTTGTGGTATGACTACGAAGCGAACAGATATTGTGCATAACAGGCAGCGAGTAGAAAATCGAGCATATAAGTACATACATCTAAAATGCAAAACAAACATGAATTGTATGTACATATGCACATAGTATGTACTAGTCGACAGACAGAGCAAACGACCAAACGACGACGACGACGACGACCGCGGTACCACAGGCCGGGAGTGCTGGCAAAGGCATAAGTAAAAGCAATAGCAACAAACTGTAGCTGCGATTAGTTGTAGAAAAGTGCTGGCTGTGTGTTACCGAGTCCGGTATTTGTGTTGGGATGGCAATGGCGACGACCACAGCAGCGATATCTGCACTACCATGGAACCAGAATGCGGGGCGGCGAGGCAATACCATAAGCCTCCACCAAAATGAAATTCATTTGTTTTGTAGGCCACATCGCCGCTATTTCTTGCCTGTACGGCTGCTAACTTTGTCTACTTATTTGCCTTTACCAATGTATGCTTACTTTTTGTTATATCAATTATTTAATGTTTTTTTTTTACAACTGTTTTTGCCGTTTCGTTCCATCGCGACTGCTTTTTGACAATTCTTTATTTTTCACCTTCTTTTATTGTTGTGTTGAAATGTGGTGTTATCGTTCGGCAGTGGTGTGTTACTTTTGTATTTACACATTAATTTACGTTTATTTTAGAGCAATTTTTATATAATTTTTAAAGGAATTCGGTTGCGACTAAATGTACTATACATTTAATAAGTTATTAGTTTAAGCTTAAGTTTATGCATTTACATAGGTAGGCAGCATTTAGTTTTTTTTTTTTTTTGACTACGCTATTTGCTGTTTGCTTACACTTTTTGACGTTCTCTTTTGAGACCTATTCTACTTTCAACACCACGTTTTGGGCCCCTTGCTCCATAGAAAGATTTCTTAATTTATTCAATAAGAAATAAGCTTCGAACTACTACAGGTTTTGCCGGTAAAAGCGTGTGCCAAAGCTTTTTCTACACAAATTATGCGCCTAAATAAAATTAAAAGCACATCGTGGTCCATCGCTAGATCTTTATAAGGAAAAGGCGTTGCTAAAAGCAGTTATTTTACTGAATAGATTTAGAATACATTTTAATTTAAAAAAAAAATATGTTGCCTGTTATCATGGAAATCGCTCATGTTATCGCTAAAGATAATTTTGTGTTTGCTATATGATCGCCTTGCTGAAAAGAATTGAAACCAAACTAGCGAAATGAATGTTTATTGACTGAGTTTTTAGGCTGATACGTTGTTGGGTATTTGCCCTTTGAAAATACACAATGTACAGAAATAAATATGTACACAACTACGGGATTGTGGGGTAGTTCTCGTTCATCTGTGCATATACTGATTATATGCATGTCTGTACATAGCATGTACATATGTACATCTATGCACAATAAGCATAAAGCACGAAGAGTAGAAGGGAAAATGCAGAAGGAAGGTGGATGGATGCCGTGTTTTTATGTTCTCCAACATCTGTGTAGAATAGTGTTCTGAATTACATATTAATACACAGGCATATGTACATAGTATATTCGTACATCGGCTTGCACACATAGTACAAGGAAAAAAGGCACATTTAGTATATGAAATGATGAAACATTTCCAGGAAGGATGAATAAAACTTTCTTGTTGGAGTAAAGAGCAAACGAAGAAATAAACAAGTCGTCTAACAATAAAATTCATACACAGACGAAGAAATACCGGCTTCGTATTGAAACGACAGCTGCGGTGTTGTCGCAATCCAATCGACACATGAGCAGTTTAAACGAAAAACGAAATTAAAAGGAACTGGATGAGTAGGTAATCGCTATGAGTTCTAAAGTTGCTCCTTAAGTGCGCGCAAATGTTACCTGTGTCACATCTCACAGCTTTGTTGTACAGCCAAAACACAAAGGAACAAGGTATGCCGTAATGAAATTGTACGTTAATTTTAGTTCCACTATGCATATGGATCTACTCTTTTAAAAATTGACGTAAGCAAAAAAACGCCACAGCAATACAAATCTACTGACGAAATGTTGTGGAATTATGGAAAAAATACTGCTAGGTCAATAGAAAAAAAATATACCAAATTAGCTGATGATATGTTCGCTGCCGTTTATGGCAAATTGTTTATGCTTTGTGATTTGTATGTATTTGTATTGGTTCTTTTCAATATAATTATTTCATTGCACCTGCCTTTATCGGTAATTTTCTTATCTGCATATGTTTTCTGGTGTTTGCATTTTGTTATGTTCCCGTTCCGCTGCTCGCAAACAATATTTTTAATTTTTATTTCGTTAGCCACGTAATGCTGCGATGCAATAAATAAATAAATATCAAATAAATAATATACTTTTCATGCGTTTGAGTAGTTTATGCCTAAATAGCGATTTGTTCAATAGATTAAGGGCTAGTGCTTCAGTGCTGGTTTAAACCCAGTTTAGACGAAGTTTAGTTAAACTCAGTTTAAACTACTGACCAGTTTTTCAGTGCGAGTTTAAAACCGCTTCGTAGTTTAGCTGTTTTGAATTGCAACACAGTTTTTTCTTTAAGCAGATATAAAACGTCGGTAATTTTTTTTTTATTACCTTCCTTTTATTAGCTCGGGATGTACATAACTATCTAATATTGATGCGCCTAAAAGATGCAGCAATTATAATAGGGAGGTTTTAGTTTTTTAAACTATAATTTTTTTTTTCACTTTGATACGATCGCGAATTTGTTAGGTGCTTCATGAGTTGCCCGACCAAATTGCCCTATGCAAGTAAACTCGCAGCTCAAATTGCGTTTGTTAATTTTCTTGTGCATAATTTTAATCTTACGTATGAATATTTCGCTTATTTATATCTATGTATGATTGTACCGCTATACAAATGAGTGAGTCTGTTTTCATGTATTTCGCCTACAATTTTAATATTTTGATAGTTTGAACTCGGCTTAACCCAGCCAGCCAGGCCTAAAGTTACCGTTGATTTTTTAGAATTTTTTTCGCCAAAGGGGGTGCGGATTTCTTCCATATACAAATAAATTGAATTTATTCATTATATGGAAGCCAATGCGACAAAAAAAATTAAAAAAATGAACGGTAATTCGTAGTCACTTCAAATTTGCACATTATCAGACTAAAATTGAAGGGGCTAAAAAACTGTGTACTCAAAAAAATTCTAACACTTCCGAGAAAAAAGTTTGAAATTTATGTGAAAGTTTGTTGCACTTTTTTGTAGTTGGGTTTGTATCGGGTTTGTCTGAGAATGAACTATATTTTAATTGAAAATTCTTAAATAAACATAAGTGGCACACAATATCACTTTGAAATGACGTGCTATAGATATGACCGATACTGTACATAATCCAAACTAGAGATGGGCGCCGGATATTGGGACACGCGGAAACCACGCTACTGTTTTCAGAATGGCCGGGATAGGCGTTATAGGGAAGGTATTTAAAAATTTTGCAGGCGGGACGGGACCAAAATCCTTTCTCGACACTCCCGATAAAATCCGCAAATGCAGAAAATCTTCCTTAAATACTTTTTATGGAATCAGCACTTTTTTTATCTTTATTGACATGAAAACGAAAAGCAAAGCAAAAAAAAAACAATAGTACGAAAATGTCAAATTTTTTATTACTTAATATTGATTTTGAAGTCAGGCGAGTTAAATTCAGTGATAAAGGTCGGGACCCGCATACAATTCTGAAAAACGTTCGGGGCTTAAAATTCGGGATGGGCGGGAACAGGGTTGAAATTTTTAGCTAGTTTTGGCTTTTTTTTCCATATCAGCAACCATGTGAGATAGCATGATGCAATAATACAAGCTGGTATCAGTTGTGACAGCTCGATTTGATACTGCCTTAGCTCAGTAGAATGAGAAGAAAAACGGGAAGAAATTAATCCCCATTTGGGGGAAAGGAAAAATATAAAATTTCTTATTTTCTTCTAAACAAAATTTGCTTTTTTCATAGTATATTCGTAATGAAATGAAATAAAATAAGATTAAATACCTTTTTAAGAAAACCAAATGTGTACAATGAGAAAAAAAAAACATTCAACTATATTATTAGACAAAGAATTTCTAAAGTATCAACACGATTTCACCTAAGGCAGTCAATATGGCGGAATTAGAGCGAGAAGTTGCCAGCCGATAACACCTTTGTATTATAGTGAGATAGGACCTTTCTATATTAAAGCTCAACCAGCCACCCACGGAGCGCCTTTCCGTACCTGCCTCCGTATCAACATATGCAATTGCTGTTGATAGAGCGAGAGAGAAGCAACAACAACGTCACCGTTATGCGGTGGTGAGTTTTCGTCAACACGAGAATTCCATAAAAGCTTAAACAGACAGCGGCAGCGTTGATCCGGATTAACTCGGACTTAATCCGGATCAACTGCAGTTAATTCCCGAGTCGATCCGGATCAACGCTGCCGTCTGTTTATGCTTTTAGATAGATCGTTTCAGCTGACACGGTCTACGGTATTTGATTTTGGTTAAAGCATAGTAAACCTTTTTATAGCAAAATAGCAAAACAATTTTACTTGAAAAACATTGTGAATTAAAAAAAAAATCCAACACCTTGTTTCTTGTTTGAGTCACTGTACCAGATTTGGCAAATTTTTCTTTTGTTTTTTTAATGTTTCTTACTTTTTTTTTATAAAACTTCTGCCCATTATCTGACAAAATACCGACTTTGCAGAAAAATTAAAAAAATTTTACAACAACAAACTTTTTATTAAGAATGTTTAGAAAATTTCTAAGAACGCAGTTTTAAAGGCCATTAAATACTAGCTTAATAAAATGCTAGTTTCAAGTGGCAAAAAATTCGCGTTTATTTTTGATAATTTTGTTTTTTTTACTGATTTTGTTATTATTTTCTTGCATACAAACAAAAAAATTGTCGAACATATATGTACAAACAAACTTTGTTTGGCCAAAAGTCAACGCGTTTTTTTAGTAACTTCACACTTGCACTTTATTATATTACAATTTAATGGGCTATACTCACTTAATAAAATTCAGAAAAATTTGATTAGTAAAAATTTGCAGAATTTTTATAATTTTAAAATAAATATGTTAAAATAAACAACACTTTTAGCGCCTGCCGCTATAAATGTTCCTTTATTATTGAGCGATCATGCCTTAAGAACTATACTCATATCTTTTATAAACCCAAAACGCCTTAAGTCTAGTTTACAATAACTCAATGTAGTTCAGGTATACTATACACTCCTGTAAAACATTGATATGTATGTACTCTTAACTACGTAAATAATTATTAAACTTTTCCATAAATAGGTGCAAAGAGCAAAATTGTTGTGATATGATGTGAGGTGTACGAAAGTGGATTTCGCATACTGTACATGTGTATGTTCATTTAATTGCATTAATGCTTACATTTGATAATTGTATGTGTGAATGCAAGTGCATTGACTAAATACATACACTCATGGTCATACTAATGGGTACAATGTTATTGGTTGCAATTTATGTTCATTTATTTATTTTTAATAATTTTCATTTAAAAAAATAGTTCGGTCCACAACAGAAACCACATAAGTGAAAGTTTGCACAAAGTTCACACAAATTATTTAAACTGCATAAAATGTTCATCAAAATTCCAAACTTTTTATTCAGAATTTTTAAAAAGTTTTGGGGTATGCAGTTTTGTAGTAGCCCATTCAAATTTAGTATAATAAAAATTACCGTTGATTTTTTAGATTTTTTGGTCGAGGATGTGGCGCATTTTCCTCCATGCAAAAATATACATATTTGGTTCGTACTTTAAAAAATTCTGAATAAAAAGTTTGAAACTTTGATGAAAATTTTTGGAAGTTTGATTAATTTTTGTAAATTTTCTGCAAACTTTGAAACTCTTTTTCAAGGGGTTTCTATTGTGGTTCTAACAACTTTTTAAATTAAAGCTATTAGAAATAAATAAATAAACATAAATTGCAAAAAATATTTTGAATATTGTACCTATTGTTATGACCATATGAGTGCATATACATACATATGTATGAACTTCATATGTGCATGTGTATTATGTAGTAGATACAATGATTATTGCATTAAATTCTCTACAAAGCTTATAGAAAATGCATATTGCGGTTTTCCTCCCTTTTAGGGCATCAAAAGGGTTTGATAGCGTAAGCTTTGTTAAATTAGTTATTCGTACATAAATATATACATACATACATATTTTCACCTATTTTATATTTCGATGTATCGACAATGGGACCGACCCGCACCAATTTTAAAAATCCTCTTTTATTTGGGGGCTTTTCCGGGCGTGCGCTTACGATTTTAAATATAATAAATTTTCAATATCTACAATTTCTTGTGTAGTAGGGTATGTGAATTAGGGTATTTCAGAAATAAGGGCATGTATGTTGTCGTATAACTTTGGACCACATGGTACCTCAAGCATGGTCCCATACTAATTTGGTTTAGTTCTGATCATTGGATCATGCAGAATTTAATGGTATGCATAAATTTTTATATGAGCATTGATGTCGGTTGTATTTTTTTTTTTCTAAAAATTACATGTTTTGAGTATGAATGTTTTGTTCAGTGTTTGGTCGAGCTTCTCAAATGTTTAATCTGCCTCCGCAAGCCACACAAATAGAGACGCCTACGATTTTACGCCGGAAGACAAACGCTTAGGTTTGAGCTGTTGTAAAAATATGTATGCGTTTTCTATAATTTTTGCATGTTGCTGCACCCTGGGATCGAATCACATTCTTATTAAGCGGAAGCACGCAAATCTTTAGATCAAAACGAAAAACGAAATGATAGTACGCATATTTTCGCAAAAAAAAAAAAAATGGGACACCCTAATGTGCATACACATAATTCTGATTTTTTTTTTTAGTTCATTATTTACCGTACTCCTAGATACACAACTTCATTATTTGCTTTCC